CCCGAAGACTTCCTGGCATCTCATGAGTGTTCCATGACCTCTCCGCCCGGTAGTCCACGTTGCGCTTGTTGCAATCCTTACATCTTATACAGACAGGCGGATCCTATTCTACGTGGCGACTCCTTCCAGCTCTGCCTGGTCCCGCTGGGTTTAAGGTTTCTGGAGGTTTCTGGCGCATTCAAGTGTTGAGTAGTTGGTTCCCCAAGCCTCAAACCCAGACGACAATTAAAAGCCGGGTAGCGCGTGGAGGGGGAGACGCTTCTACTTGTAGATGGGAGTGGATGGATTTTCGGTGTTCCATAGGGCGGGGCAATGGGAGTTCACTCACGAAGAGTTACTCCATGCTTCCTCTGCCTGCCCACCATCCCAACTTGTTGCAGACCTCTTGCCGCTCAGACAATAGTATCCCTTGTTCTGCAACATCTTGTCAGCCACTGTAGCTTAAGTCCTCACCGGCTGCAGTATTCCCTGAACCAAGCTTTGTTGAAGACACTGCAGCCTGTCAGACCAACGTGTGCGCTGCGATGGCGGATCTGCGCAACTCGCAGGTGGGGAACCCTAAACCCTAAACCCTAAACCCTAAACCCTATGAGGGCAGCCGTGGGGATGACTATTGTGGAGGGGCTTCATTGCGAGCAGAGTTGGGCCGGCACTTCCCGAGCTTTCTGACACCATTCCGTTGCTGCGGGTTATTTGGAGTTTCGTTGCAGTGCACTTTGGTTTTGGGAAAGACCTGGTATCGAGACGACCTGATCTGTGCAGTCTCAGTTGTAGCGAGCATCGTCTTGAAGTCTCTTGAGTCTCAAAGCAGAAGGCGAAATCCAAAGCTGCCTTGGGGCTTCCTGAAGTCCAGAGAAGTGCGAGATCAAGCGTTCGAGTCTAGGGATCGAGTTGAACCCGCCCGAGAGAGATTCCAATGAACGCATTGTCTTGCCGTCTTGTCTCTCAACCTGGCCTTAACTCTCTGAACTCTACAGCCTGAGACTCTGACTGAACCCACTCTCGAAATCTTCACATCCTGAGCCCCCGAAAGCACGAGAGTTCGGGGATGGACTTGGGTGTTCCCTCTGAGGTGTTCAAGGAGCATCTCCTGGGCTACTTCCGTGCCCGGCTGGAGGCATTCGTGCAGTCTCGGCTTCGCTTTTCGCTTTTCCCCCCCCTGAAGAAGAGCATCCCGCCACTTGCTCATTGTACAAATCGACATACATCAGCATATGACAGATGAAATCAGAGCTTATCTTTGTATTATTATCACTATTTCTGTCCATTATCACACAAGAGCGTAGTCAGTACTTGATTTAGCATGCATTCATAGGTAGACCGGGTAGACCTTCAATGTGGGCCCGCCTGAGAGGGGTCTCTTGACGGTTCGGAATCGCACCTCGTTTGCTCGGTTGTGGTCGCTGCTAGAATATCTGCACGGGGCCCTTCATGCCGAGCGCGATGCCTGAGCCAAGATCCCAAACACCCCCCAAAACCTTGCCGGATCCGGAGTGTTTCGCGGCCTTGGAAGGAGTCGGACCCGCGTGGTGCCATTGCATCCGCGCAGCTTTGGCTCCCTGCTGAGGCGCTGGTGTACTGGGTGGCCCGGCAAGCAAGAGTTTGTTCGAGTTCGGGGCTTTGGGTTTCTTTTGGTGTTTTGATGTGTTTGGGGTTTGGGGCTTAAGGGTGCTACGTGCTTCAACCAAAGCTGAGTTCTATCTCAAGGTATATATCATTGGCAGTTGTGTGGCGGAATCCTGCCGCAAAAGCTCCGGGGTCACTTGGGTCATAAACCTTCAAACTCCCCTCAGCCCCAGGAAGCAGTAACCCCAAGACCTAGACAGCAAAAAGGCGCACCAAAGTAATGGCGGGCTGAGGCTCACCTTTTACAAAGTGGTGCGCTAGCGTGGGTGGTTGGAGGATGTTCGGGCTTCAGGTTCTGGGATTCGAACCTGCTAGGCACCCAACTTCCTTTCCCCACGCTCTACCCCCGCTTGTTCATTAACGGGGGAAGGGGGCTATAAGTGCAGTCATTGCTGTCAGGTTTGAAGCCTTTCGAACTCGAAAGTTCGATCCGCGATCGTGAGAGCTCCAAAATTTGAACATTTGAAAGTTTCGAGCTGTTTGACATCTTAGGTGTTGTGAGAGTCGAGGCGTGGCCGGCGTCACAAGTTTGAGAGTTCGAGAGTTCGAAGCCCCTCGAGTTTGAGAGTCTGAAAATTCGATGCAAAGTTTGAGGGCTCGTTAGTAGTTTAAGGATGTTTAGGATGTTCGTGTGTCATGGAGTTAGTTGGGGGAGCCCAGCTGCCCCCAAGATCGCCGCCTTCGTCCTCGTTTCCCGTGCCCTGGGCCCCTCGAAAGAGGACGCAAAGCTGGCGGCCGAGGTCTGGTTGTTTGGGGTTTGAGTCAACAGCAGATTCAAATGTTTGCTCCTTGAGAAACACTGGGCCTGAAGATCCGGTGCTCCAACATCAAGCATTAAGAGTCGATTAGCCGTTCCTTCATGGGCATTACAAGAAGGGAGGGAAGAAGCAGCTGTGCGGGCACCAGCACTGGCATGCACCGAAGCACCTTCCAACTTTTTTCCCAAAGGCTGCCAACTTTAGTCTTGGGAGCCCCCCCCGGCCCCGCCCAAAGCGGCTTTCAACCTTGAATCCTGACGCCCGGGCAAGAAAAGCGCTCACCCTGGGCAGAGGTCTGGAAGATGCAGCTCGGTTTATCCGTCGGCCTACGAGATCATTTTCTGGTGATGTCTCCGGAGGCTAAAGGGTCCAGGCTTCAACCCTTATAGGGTTGAAGCGGGGGTCAACTGGGTGCATAAGTTGTGAGGCATAGGGCAGTGCAGGGGTTTCAAGGCATTGAAAGGAGAGATGCGAGAGCCGAAGCCATCCGAGCTGGAGAAGCAGAGAGCAAAGGCACAAGAAGGCACCAGTCGTTGTCCTGTTTGGGCGCGCAGTCGGCGCCTGAGCTTCCTCTATAGGATTTCGCCCTTCAAGGGTTTAGGGGCCCGAGCTTTAGACCGCAACAAACCTGAATCCCCCCCCCCCCGCTTCCAGCTTGCCCGCCCTGTGCTTGGGTTGCAGGCTGAGTGCTTAATCAGGAATAAGGCCAATCCACTCCTGCCAATGCTAGAAACTCTGGGGCGGTGGACCGGCGGTGAGGCCATTCAGCAGTGCCCCAATCACGTGGGTTTGTACATGGATTTCTGCTGCTGCCTGGCAATCTGCAGCATGCTTGGGTTGGCTGAGCGTAGATTCAGCAGAGGTCAAGCAGGAGGCCAGCGTGCCACAAGCAAAGTCCTGGCACATGACGGTGGGCCGACGATCTAGTGCGCCTTACCGACCGGTTTCACAGGAACGCTACTGCTGTTTGGGCGCCCAGCTGTAGGACAGTGTAGAGACCTGCATGCAAATCGTCCCTCCGTGCCCGAAGATTGGCCGGCATCAGTAGCATCAATAGAGAAACATGGGCATGTCGTAGCTGTAGCCTTGGCATGCCCTACCCACGGGCGGCTTGAAGTGCAGTTGGGAACAAGCGCCTGTACACCGTTGGCCGGGTGTGGGGCAAGCCAGTTGCGAGGATTGTCTGCCGGAGTCAGCACCCGGCGACGCCCGAGTCCTTTGGGGCCAACGTGCTGTGCACTTCAGGCGTATGACAGTGGGGCTATGGGCTAAAGCGCTCACTGGGGGACTTCCGGTATCGCTTATGAGCGTCCAGTGTGGTTTGCTCAAAGTTGGTACCGGCAACTGGCGAGCAGGGAAGGCCCTTCGCATGTTCGGAAAAGTGATCAACTTTGTTCCACAGTGGTGCTGCAGTTTTTGATTTTACTTCAAAACTCTCCTGCAGTCAGCCGGCTGTTTCCTCTTTTACCACGGGTCGAGCTGTGTGCTTTGTATGGCCCTTAACCCCGACGGAACAGGGCCCGGCGCACTCTGCACCGTGCTTCTGTCGGTGCTGTGCTGCTCAGCCTTCCTCCGGTCTCCCAAACTCGGCAGAATATCCATGATCAAGGGAATCCCCATGAAATTGACTAGTCTTCAGGTTGGGATTCGGTATGTTTACAGTGAGTAAGTTTTGTCCATGAACAGCATCGGATCCTGGTTTCCAGCCCACCTAGCTTGAAGCGAGAAGACAGGGAGAGGTCGCGGAATGGTTCAGCATGAGTCAGCAAAGGCCGAGATGGCCTGCCTTACCCACAGGCTGCTGGGAGTTTCGAGTGGCGGCGCAGCAGCCTGCACACCGCTGGCCGGGTGTGGGGCATTCTGCTTGGGGTGGTTTCCTGGTTTCTCCAACCCAATGCCACCCGAGGTCCCTGGAGGCCAACGTGCCACAAGACTCCTGGCACATGACAGTGGGGCGATGAGCTAATGCGCCCACTGGGGGACCGGTATCGCAAGAACTGTGACCATCCTCAACTTTGGTTGCCGTTCAAGCGGCGGGCAGCAGCTCAGCGCGAACTCGCGTTCGCATGGCGTTTGCAGGCGCCACCACATGCACCCAGCAACAGCGTACAGTTACACGCTCCGAAGAGGGGAGGCCGAACACAAGGAACACAAGTGACTGCCTGGGCAGCCAGGAAGCCTTGCACTGATTGTTGGCCGTTTGGATGTTAGGGGGCATCTTGACAGAATCCGCTGCTTGGTGTCCAGAGAGCTTGCAACATTCGGTTCGTGCGAGTACCCGAGCAAGTTGGACAGCGCAGCCCAAGACTTGATGCCCAGACCCTAAACCGTTTAAACCGCCGGTCTGTTGAGGTTTGGTGCCTGGGGGACTTCCTCCGCTCATACCTGCCCCAGGCTGCTCCAACGTGCAAGTAAAGAGGGCGCAATGATTGAGATTCCCCATCCTTCTGTAGTCCCTGCCCATTCTGTCTCAAGTAAGGACTGTTTCTGGGGGTATGTATGAATATACTACAAAATCATATCTATAGTAGGTATTGGCACGATTAGTTGACGGAACTGTCTCGATGGCTTTACTGTAGTCCAATCCTGGCTTGTTAGCGTCCTCCGAGTCAGTCCATGTTCTTGGCGGAGTACAGACTCTTTGCACACCCCTTCCTCTCACCCTTCATCTCGGCAGGCTGCAGAAACAGCTCTGAAGAAAGAGCTGGAGGAGCGGGGCCTGGGCTGTTGCAGATGGGGCTTTCAGATAGTCGGGCCTCCGTCTCACAACCGCTGGCGGAGGACCTCGATGCCCTCCGTGTGAAGCAGGCGCAGCGGATGGACGATGGCAGCTTCGTCCAGGCTACCACTTTTTTATCCGAGTCTGTCTGGACAAGCTGTGCTTGAAACATTCTGACCGTCCTCTGGAGCTTTCAGATTCGGAACAGCTTTCAAGGCAGAAGGGACAGGCCGCAAAAGTAATGGCTTTTAAACTCAAAACCTTGAGGAAATGCAGAGCCACCGCAGGGTCCTCGGCTTTCGCGCAAGCTTTTCGAGTGCAGTTTGTCACGAGAGGGTTCCTCAAGGTTTAAAGGCATCCAGTCTGCCACGCTGGCATGTCTCAGGGCTTGCAGTGATTAGCCCCGTTTTCACAGGTACCGCTAGTGTGTCTTGGGGCAGAGGGATGCAGTTTCCCTCAAGAAAGCCGGAAAGAGGGGCAAAAGAAACCATGAAGAAACCTCTAGGAGCCCTCGTAAGCTTTAAGTACTTGTAGCCCTCCAAGTTTCACTGCACCCTACCGGTTCGCCTAAAATCAGTGGAAAAACCTAAGCTTCCCCTCCCGAAACCCCACACCCCCCGCCCCCCACAGGTGCCTCCGCGGCCGCCTGGCTGGCAGCGGTGGCCTTGCCGCCGCCGACCTTGAGCTCTGTGAGTCCCGCGGCCTCGAAAATCGGTTTCACAGTTGTAGTACGGTTTACAGGGCACACAGGGCACACAGGGCACAAAGGGCACTAGGAGCTGCCGCGCTCTTGAATGGTTGGTGTATGCGGTGTCTGGTTGAGGCTTCTTCAGATGCTTGTTTCGACATCGTCAGACATCCCGTCCCAGATCCCAAGAGTTCCAACACTCACTGCACGAGGCCAGGACCTCCGGAATGCCTTCGCGGTGCTGCGCCGGGGCCTGGACCTGGCCTTGCGTGCCTTTGTCTGCAAAAAAGATGTGGAGTTCAGTGAGTTTTGGGGGCAGTTTTGGGGGCAGTTTTGGGGTGCCCTCGGGGCTTCAAGGCTTTGGGGCTCTTGCATTCTCGTGGAGGGTGTTCTGGACTTTGCGGGGAGGTGGAGTTCAGCGACTTGAGGAAGGCGGAGAAGTTGAGGGTGTGGTTGCAAATTTCTATTTGGGGGGTCTTATTCCGGCTTAGCAGCTCAGCGCTGTGATGCCCGTGTGTCTTGCTTTGCCCCCAGCTGCAGATTTCCTTTGCTTGTGTTGGACCTTGGCGCTCTTGCATTCTGGTTTTCGGGAACCCATCTGCAGTACCCCTAGAGTCACTCTAGAGTCACTAGAGTCACTAGAGCTCTAGCGACCTACTCTAGGAGCCTTGAAGTCAGTTGAGAAGCGAACTAGAAACTTTCACCGCTGACGGTCTTGCCCTCTGCAGGTGTGCGCATCTTGCTGGAGGCCTCTCGCCCCACTGCTGTTTTCTTTCTTGGAGGGAATCACGAAAGTCACTAAATTTCGGATCCCGGACTTTGTGGTAGCTTCTTACAATGGCAGTCTGTAGACTTCGGGGGGAAGAAGTGCACCCACTGCAAGAGTCTTTGTAGCTGGTCTGTGCTTGTTCCTCACACTCTATAATTCGCTCCGAAGCAAAGCGGTAGTGCAAGCTTTCAGCTACTTTCCTCAATCCCATTGCATGGCCCTACGCCCTACATCCTAATCTGCAGGACTACCTTGTGCTGCACGCACTGTGCTCAGCCTGCTGTCGGAGGGCGTCAGGGGTAGTCGGAGTTTGCAGAAATGATTGGGCTGTTTCAGCAGCTGGCAGCATTTCAGGCACTGCCGGTAAAGGGGATAACGAATGGGGGAATTACAATCCTCAGGAGCGAAGGCAAGTACTCCACCGGAGTATCAGTTCGAGCTACACCGACAGACCGACATCCTAAATCCTCAAGTCCGAAAGTGCAGAAGCCTGTGAGAGCACCTCAAAGTGCTGGTCGATCATGGTCCTCCCTGACTGCGCTTGACTGCGCTGTCCCACGGATTCCCACGGCAATGGAAGTCACGAGCCATGCACGAGCCACACGGGGCCACACGAGCCTTACGAGCCTACGAGGTGCGAGAGGGTGTCCCTGTGCCCAAGACAGTGCTGCCCTTCGTGACGCTGGGCTTTCAGCTTCTGACGACACTGCAGGCCGGCTGGGAGGGTTGGCACGCTGAGTCCGTTTAGGGGGTTTCGTGAATCTTTGAGGTGTTTGGGTCATTCGAGGTCTGTGCTTCTGTACTTGATGTAGTACGCTCGGGCTGTGTTGACAAAATCACGTGGCAATGAGCATCTTCGAATCTTAGAATCTAGGCACCGCTGCACACACTGAGCCTTGTGTAAATAGATGCTCTCCTTTCTTCGGCCGTGGTAACCAGACCGTAAATCCTAGGATTCCGAAGGTTGTTCAGACCCGGTGAAGACCTCAAGTCCGAACTCGCAAGTTGCCATTGGCTCAGTGGCCGGAGGTCTCCCGAAGTGTGTGCAAGTTATGAAAGTTGTACGCCCTCCGTCCTAAAAACTGCCATGCAGCCATGCATCCGATGTTCCGAAAGGGGGATGTGGGGTTTGGCACCTAAGGCTAACTCCTTCTGCTGCCAGCCCACATGCTGCAGGGCACAGCAAGATAGAGAAAAGTTGGCGCGAAGAGACAGAAAACAAGTTGCCACTGCGAGCTTGCCACCAGACTTACAGGCACATTGTTTGGGCAAGTCATGTGCAAGTACTTAGCGAGAGTCTTTTGGGTGCTGTCGACCTGTTGCCATGGTGGGGGCGTTACACCTGGTGCTCTGGGCTTGCGCGTTGCAAGTGCAATTAGTGACCCGGCTATATTTCGACATCGTGGAGGCTGAGAAATTGAGCACCTTCTCGGTACAATCCACCTCATGCATCCTGATGTCCTGTATGAGCTTCTGTTTAATCGGCGTTTTGCAGCAGAGTAGCGGGGTAAAGGGGTTGGGCCGCCCCTCAGAAGTAGAAGCGAAATTCAGAAAAGGCAGCACGCTTCCCTTGATGATTCACTAGGTCAGTAAGCGAAAGCCACATGTCAGGCAAAGGTGCAAGAGCAGCAGGCGCCAGAACATGCAACACTTTCGCACTCTCGCAATTCTGTGCTTCAGTGAGTTCTGCCAAGGCTTTGACAGGTCTTGTTGTCGACACTGCGAATGGCCCAGCTCCTTGACTCATCACTGTAGGAGCGACCACGCCTGAGCATCGAACAGCACAATGTGGCGAGCTACTGAAGTTTTTCCTCCAGAGCTCTGCTGTCACCATACCCTCAACCTCAAAGCAGCCCAACATCCCGCAAGCCCAGATGTCCACGCAAGCCCAAGCAAGCCCACGCAAGCCCACGCAAGCCCATGCAAGTGCCCTCAAGAGGTGCAGGGCATCTACCGCGACGCAGCAGAGAGAACGGCTTCCTGGTCGGGACCGGGAGACAGAAGCTACTCCAAGCCCTTAGGATTTCGGTATGCAAGTAGCTATATTGGGTCGGATTTCAGGGTTCGTCAGCCTGATCGCCACAATCACCTGAGCCAGCAGCCGAAGCCCTGAAATCTAACCGAAAAGTGGAAGAAGTACGCAAATCCCTCTGACCAGGGCATGAAACATCCTCCCTCATCTGCACCGGGCTCAAGGCGTTTAAGGCCAGTTAGGTAGAGGACCGGGGAGCTGCCCTGAGAATTCACTCCAAGACCCCTATGCCTTGAAGCCTGATTCAGGGGGGGGGCCTCTTTTTCTGCCCTTGGAAGGTGGGGCCTCCCGTATGCCAAGCCACCGACTGGGGACCGCCGATTCAAGGCACGAAGACTACGGCGAATAAGGGTCTAGGGTGTTTAGGGTTTAGGGTTTAGGGTTTAGGGGTGTTTGAACAGTTTGAGGGCTGATATCCGTCCGTCGTGCTTGAGCTTGAAAAAGCATAAAGTCTGAAGCCTCACTCCTCAATCCCCGCTGTGACATCTTGAAGCCTAACAGCACTCTTCAGAATCCCTGGAAACTTAACACCTGCCCAGGGCCTATGTTTGCCCAGCCATTCTGACAGGCACCGGAACCCTTGCAAGAGACCTGGAGCTTGGGCTGCACTTGGAGGAGAAGGGATGGGGGATGGTGGTGGATGGCGATGGATGCTGAGGGCTCGTTGCCCATGTGTGCGGGTACGCACGAGGCCGTACTACTGATTGACTGCAGGGCTAACAGTGGCCAGCAGTAAAACGCTATGTTTTCGCTACGTTTTCGATGTTTTGGTCTCTTGCCGGACATGCGGCACATTCCAAGACCATAGCATCGCAACTCCGGAAACAAAAGCTGCCAGCTAAGGACCGAGCCTCTCCAGGCCTCTGCTTGCGTCCTCTTGTATGGAGTTGACCACTGGAGAAGTAGCTCAGAGTCACCTTCCCTGGATTGTCACGGCATGACATTGGCGGTCTTTCTATCACAGGCTTCTATTATGCACACGCTTGCTTGCGGTGGTGATTGTTTCAAATCTTGATCCATAGGCAGCATGCCCACCCCCAACACCCTCAAAAACGGAAGGCAAGAACCCCGCCTGGACTAAATCCACGACGACCTCGCCCAGGCCCCCCCTCGAAACCTACGTGCAACCGGCATGCCCTTGCAGCTGAATGGTCAGAGGCCTCGCGAATACCTGCGGAGTGCCCGCAGCTGGCTGGCCGATCCGTTGGTGGAGTGGAAGATTGCCTCTACCTGAACGCAGCTGGGAATCATGCTTGTGCCCCGAAACCCGAGAATGCCCTAGAAGCCCTGAACCCCAAGCGGGCTCCAAAGTCAATTTTGAGAGGCCTTGCGTACGATCTCTCACCAGGTCCATGCGCCCGTCCCCGACGCGAGTCCCCCCCGGCCAGTGCTCGTCTGGATCTATGGTGGCGGCTCCTGGTCATGAGAGGAGTTCTTTTTTTATATTGTTGTTTTTGGTTTTGTGTTTTTAGGCTTTGGGTGGTTGCTTCGGGTGTGCAGGGATCAGGGTCAAAGAATTGTGCAACAACCAGCCAATGAATTTGCTCTGGTACCCACTGCAGCAGTCGGGGCCCGCCAGCCAGGCTGGGGCGGCTCTTGCGCTGGAATGTGGTGTTCTTGATTAGCTGTTCTCTTACGGCCCGTCCACGATCTTGCAAAGAGATGTTGGTTGGCTTGACTGCGAACTTGATGTTGCTGAAGGTGTTCTTAAGCGCGGTGAGGTCGGTCAAGTTTCCTCTGCGGGCCGGATAAGCAAGATATTGCACAATTTTGTCATCAGGGTGCTGGCGACAGATTTCAGATCTTGATGCCAAGCATTCCAAGTGACAAGGAATCATTCACACAAAGACTGAAGCCACCACCAAGCTTTTACGATGCCTGGAGCCTCGCTGTCCGTATAAGAACCCACCCTATCGTTTTGTTTCGGACGCACGCGCTACCCCGTACCGATTGCACAACATGAAACATGAAGCAGACTCCGCACTGGCAATTTTGTCTTCATGAAGAGGGTACTATCCAAACATATTATGTGGCATTGCCCGAGACTTGCTAGTCTGGGAGAGTGAACTTTTGGATCGCGCTCCTTGGCCTTCTTGTGCCTCTTATGCCATGATTCGTACGACTCAGCTGCCTTTTGCCACGCGTGCCTTATGGGACTGTTGGCACAAGCCTTCTGACCATTCCGCTGTCTAGAGACAGTTTTCGTTTAAATTTCGCCTCCCTAGGGTTGATCAGATTTCTTTTGATCCCCCAAAATGATTGCAGGCCCACCCTACCCCCATCCCCACCCCCCCTTCTTTTTTGTAATCTTGCAAACATGCTTCTTTATACAATCGCGGTGACTTGCTTCAAAGTCCAACCCCCCCCCCCCCGCATTTATTGAGCTTTCTTGACTTAGAAGAATGCCGTTCTCAAGAACGCAATATGACTTTGAGATAGAGGTGGTCGTGGTTGGTTGGCGCAGACGTGCAGAGGCTTCTACCTCTTGATCCTGGCGTAGCTACCCTCGTACAGTGTGTCCTGATCTTGCCCTTGCAACCTGGATCTCCCCAAATATTTTTTTGAAGCTCTCGGAGCTCTGAGCCTAGGCTTCTCCATCGGCGACAGCTACTCCATGGGCCTCTATGACGGCCAGCACCTGGCTTGGAAGCACGAGGCCAGCTATCGTAGTACCGTCGCAATACTGGTGCCGAAGGGCGGTTTGGGCGGTTTAGTTCTTGTGCGGGCCGAGAGGATGTGGAAGCTTTCGAGAGATGTTACGAGCTTTGTTGGTTGAGGGCTCTGGATCCTCGGGCTTGTGGTTGGACTTCTTTCCGGTTCAGGGTTGATGGTGAGAGGTGCCCACACTCGCAATATGAGCCGATGAGGCTCTTGTGGCAGACATGGCACCGAAGCTCCCCCACATCAAGGCACCATAAGGCACCTTACATCCTGACAGATCCTGACAGAAGCTCTTCCCCGTGAGTTTGAAGCCCTACAGAGCGAGGCTTCGCGCAGACCTGAAACCTTTCTGTTTTGAGAAGTAAGCCATGATGCTTTAGTGCTGCTGTAGGGTTTGGGACAGATCTTGGGCTGCCAGGGATCAGAAGTTTCGGGCCTCTGGGTTTTTTGTGGGTTTTCCAAAAGTTCATGGTATGGGGTGTAGAGGCTTTGTTGATGGCAGGTCGTGGTGGTCACGCTGAATTACCGCCTTTGTGCCCACTTGGCTGCAGTCCGCTCGCTTTGCTGAGGGCTTTCGGGGTACAAGTTGGGGTCTTTGTGCTTCCTTGACAACTTTCCGTTGCCAAAGCTTGGAAGCACACCCTTTCTTCTCAGCAACTTAGACCGCACTGGACAGAAAGGTATACAGACAGCCGGAACTTCATAGGAATGCCGTGCATGTTTCAGGACTGCCCCGGCTGGCCCATGGCAACGCCCTTAAACTCGCGAGGTTTTGGGTTTCATGGCCTTGGACGCGCTTCAGAAGGAGTCCTTCGCCGGATCCACTGGAAACCACGCGCTGCAGGACTTCTGATGTCATGCGCTGGTCTTACAGCAACATCATGCCCTTGCCCTTGCCCTTGCCCCCCATGCCCCATGCCCCATGCCCCAGTGCCCGACGGTAATTTTGAGGACCAGCAGCTGGCGTTGCGCTGGGTGCCTTGAAGAAAGGGGCCAGACATGGATGTTTCCATTGGATCCTCGAGATTATCCTCGCCAATGTGCCTTTAGGCCCTCTCAACCCTACACCTGAGGGTCTTGGGGATGAGGCTTCTCATTGGAGCATTCCTGCCTGGCACTCGTTCAGCTGCTGGTCTGTTTCGGTTTCTTCGCGTCCGCGCGCCAAGCACAAATTCGTGAATTTTGGAGCCGCGTTTGGTTGACACATCAGGTTGGGGATGTGTAGAATCTACCACTGCGGACTGCACGAATGTATGCTACTGTATGTATTCGGGGAGGGACTAATGTCCTTGGGAAGGGGGGGGGGAGGGACATAGCATCCGGGCACCAGAACATGGCTCCTGACACAACTGCCCCCTGTCATGCCCCCGGTGCGGACCAGAGGCCATCTAGCCTGGCTTTAACTTTGTCGTCAGCCCATAATTTCCTGTTTGTTTTGCTCTCATCCCCATCAAGTGGAGATCCCGAAGCCCTAAGCCATGCCGATGCCCTGGCAAGTGGCCCGAAGCTGTCCAGGTGCAGACAAACATCCGCAATTTCGGTGGCGACCCCAGCCGAGTCACAGTCTTCGGCGAGAGTGCTGGCGCTTTCAGTGCACCTCGGCAGCCTCGAGCTGGAGATTGGAGGGTGAGGGGTAGGGATTTGTGCCACGGTTTGGGCAGGGTGTAGGGAACACAATCAACATCACTGACTCCTAGCCCCTGCCAATTAACCAATTCTTTCTCGTGCCCTTCCAAACTCTCCCGGTGCTATGCCGGTCTGGACAGCTCCGGGGGCATGTATGGTTCCGTGTCGCCGTGTCGGTAGTCCCCTTCCATGGTATCCCCCGCCCACCCCACAAAACCCCAAAACCCAACAACCCGAAAGCCCATAGACCCGAAAGCCCCAAAACCCAAAACCCTAAAGCCTGCAACCCTGAACAAAAGTTAAAGCCCCTTTCAACCTTAAACCCTTCAAAACCCTACGCAAAAACCACAAGACCTTAAAAACCCTAAACCCCCAAAGCCCCAAAACCTCAAAACCCCATAAACCCAAGCCTTAAACCCTAAAACCCAAAATCCTACATCCACCAGGGGGGCCGGACCCGACCATGTATGAGGGCCGGGGGTTGGTGAGTACCTGAACTTAAAGCCAGGAGTGCTTTTGGCATGGCACTCGGATTTGCTGCAGGGTTCGAGAAACTGCACAGCCCGAAAGTCAGAATTTGGCGGCCCTATCGCACACCCGAAGCCGGGACCAAACCTAGACTCTAGGCATCTCTAAACTCGTGAGGTGATGTGGCATTTGGTCAGCCCGAAATCTGCGGGACGCCTTGCTGCACAGAGTTCGGCATCTCTGGTTGTTCTGAATCTGTCCTTCCACTGCAGTTTCTGGCCCGACTGTGCGAGAAACGAAGCCTGTGTGGTTGTCAAGGGCTCTTCCACGGAGCCATCATGGAGAGTGGCACGGTGGACGTCACGTTCTTCTTCCAGCCTTTGCAGAAGGCCCTGCAGAGCGCAGCAAGGGGCATGTAACCAGATCATGCTCATGGAATGCCCCACATGCCAGCGCCTCCAGGCCAAAGAGTACTACGAGGACCTGGCCACCAGGCGACGGTTTGGATGCTTAGTTGGCCAACAGGGTTCTGGATCCGACAGGGTTTGGATTAGTTCAAGGCCCTCAGAGGGGTTGGCTGGTTTGGGCTGGATGGTTGCCAAACCCTGAGTTTCTATCCCCATCTAAAGCTGGCCCAGATCCGAAGTTTCACAGGCTGGGCTGCCCGGCCTCCCTCGGGGATGCCCAGCTGCCCTGCCTCCGGGCGTTGCCTTTTGAGGCGCTGGTGGCTGTGGAAGGCACGGGTTTGCCGAGTTGGTCATCCTAAAGTCGTGTCTTGCTGATTTCCCTTCCTTCCCCAGTCTTCGACTGCAACCCTGCCATACCCTGCCTTTAGGCCATCTGGTTTGCCCAGGGCATGCGTGTGAGGTGCACGCCTCTACCTCCATTGTCAGGCGCTCGAGGGTCGGAGAATCTGGCTTGCAAAGCCCTTCCTGCCATTGGAAAGCAAAGACGAACACAGAACGCTCCGTCTTCAGAGATCAATGCTGGTCCGGGAGCACGGAAGCTGTTTGCCCGGTCTTGGCACCACGTTGGCCTTCGCGGGGCGCGGGCCGCGGGTCGGACCTTCAAACATGGGGTGAAATTTCTTGACCCTTCCAGAACCCTTTACTGTAGCGCAGTTCTGACTGTCATGGAGCTTTTGCAGACACCTTTCATGAGACTTTGGGACCGGGCCACTGGGTCTTGGTATAAAATTACATGTTTGTGCAAGTGAATTGAAACCGTTTCGCCAAAACCCCTGTCCAGCTGGCATGGACGGTCACCGCCCCGCTGTGCACTCGCCTCTGTGGCCGCTGATGTCAAATGGCTCCTTGGATTACACCTTGGGCCTTGCTTAGCCTGTCCGTCTGCTTGTTTGAGCCCTCTAGTTTTAGTTTGTCTCCTAGGTCCGGCCATCGATGGGACCGAGGATGGTCTTCTAGATGTGCCCATCAGGCACAGGAGTTTAGGAGCCTGAAGGGGGGGAGAGAGAAAGCCTAAAACCTAACATGCGGACGAGAAAGACGGGGGGCATTCAACGTGTGGGATTCTGGTTTCAGCAATTGCTCTTGCTTCAAGGGGCTTGCTAACCTTTAGGCGTGGGCATGATAGAGAAATGACTTTGGAGATTGCAGCTTCCAACGCAGATTGCAGCAACGACAGCGCAGTGCCAACGGCGCAAACATCATTGCGAAGTTCTTCTCCAACCAACTGATCCTCCTCCCCCGCCAAACCTCAAACCTGATCCCGATGTGAAACCATACCCGTTTCAGTCGCAGCTCTGAATGTTACGTGCCCCTGAGCATTGAGTTTTGAAGTTCTGCTTGATGCTTCGGCTGGCGAGCGGAACCCGAGATGCTAGGATCTTGCGAAGTGTTCAGGGCTTCGGGTCAGAGGTCTGAAGGGTTTTGGATGATTGCTCTACGTGCTTGAGTTATAGAGCCCATTCCAGACTTATTGAACAGGATTTTCTCAACCCGAACTCCCAAAAGCTCGCGTTTCGTTTGATAGTGCCATCGCCCAGTCCGGCCTACTGCTCACCGAGAGGCTTGTCAAGAGCGGCGCTTTCAACAGGGTGCCCCTCCTCTTGGGCGCCAACGAGTGGCTCGGTGACAGTTCGAGGAGTGCTAAAAGCTCAAGCGCTTCTAGTGAGGCAAGGGTTGGGGTGGGTTCAGGGGGAGCTTTTTGGCTTGGATTTTTTTGGAGCTTTTTGGAGCTTCTTTGTGGGATCGTTCGGGTTCAGTGGTTTTAGAGGGCGGCGCCTTTGCCTGGCCCTCGCGTCAGGAACGGCGGCTCCATTTTCGAGGACATGCTGCCCGAGGCCCCTTGGCCTTGGTCACAAAAATTGAATTTGACTGTATTTGATTGTAGTTGGACCTGAGATGATATGACTCTTCAGTCAGCTTCGGGCCCCGTCTCTCAAGCCTACACTAGTATACACTGGAATGGCGAGATCTGCTTTCGGGGCCGTCTGAAGTTTGACGAAGCAGGGCAAAGTCTCATGGCTTGGAGCGCATGCGTGGCGCGCCTTGGGCAACCCTGCCATTTGTTGGCAAGACCGCTGCAGGCACAAAGGCGCGCCTGCGGCACTGTTTCCGATGCTGTGGTCCACCATGCCGAAGCAGTGTTCCGTGCAAAATCTCCGCCTTTGGAGTTTCACGGCTCTTCGCCAGAATCCATCATTCCGTTGCATGCGGCGGACGTGCAGTTCACAAAGGGCGTGCTTAGCCAGCATGAAGCGGTGTCAAACCTAGTGGCTGAAGGTAAACCGGCGTGTCACGAGAGTCCGGACGAAGTTCGGGAGAGAGTAACCCTGTACTTGGAGTCCATGAAGGGCCAAGAAGACCTGGTTGTGGGCCACCGGATATTCCGTGATGCTGTGGCGAGGTTTTTGACTCATCGCGACGGAACGGAGACGCCGCCCGAATCAATTTTTATGACATCTGGTACGTGGCCAGCAGCAAGGGCTTTGCTGCAAGTACTGCTGCTTGGTTCTGAGAATGCCGTCGCGTTGCTGCCAAGTCCAGGGCCACCAGCATATCGAGAAACAGCAGCTTCCATGGGCCAGCGTGGTGTGCCATATTTCGTTGACGATGACTGGGCTAAGGTTTTGCTGGGGCTAAGACAGACCCTTGAGGAGTTGCATCGACATCAGAAGCAGCCGACGGCCGTGGTCGTGGCGAATCCCAGCCTAGCTGGCCGATTCATCCCGTTGACCGCAGTGGAAGCATTGCTTCGGTTGGCTGATGAAGAAGGTCTGGCTCTCATCGTGGAGGAGGACATAATTGCGGCATGGAGGCACTCAGCCTTTGTTTCGTTTCGTGTTCAAGCTCGCCAGATGAACCTTGCCGTTCCCGTGTTTTCATCTTTTTCTGCCTTTGCATACACTGGACAACACGGAGGGTATGTTCACTGCCACTGTGTTCCGGACGATCTGATTCAGCGGGTGCAGGCGGTGGCGGAGCATCCAACTGTCAAATCACAAGCCTGGGTGGCAAGCTTGCTGTCGCCATGGCGCATGTCGAGGGGTCAGGAGACTAGTCTGGACACTCTTGTGCAGGTTGCAGCCAAGAATTGCCAGCTGCTGCAAAAGTTGTGCGACGTCGAAGGCATACGTTGCGATCTTGTGGAGTCTGGGGCGTTTGCTTTCCCAAAGGTCATTGTCAAAGGCTTCATCATGAAGAAAGCGATATCTTTGGCCAGACCAGCAGACCAAGTTTACTGCTTGGAAATGGTGAGCAGGACTGGTGTCATCGTTAGCCCTGGAAGTGGCTTTGGTCAGCGTCCTGGTTTCTTTCACTTTCGGGTGTCTTTGGTGCAGGAGGAAGCAACATTTCAATCAGCCATAGATCACATCAAGCAGTTTCATCAAGAGCATCCTGTTGGCTGGTTCCGATGAGCCCTTGCCCTTCGACAAATTCTTAGGCTTCACTGCGAGAGCATGGTCGCGCAATCTCACGTTCTTAGCGTCTCTGATCTCGAGCCCTACCCGATCTTTGACGGGACCACAGAAAGGTATTGAATCGCACACCGAGCTCCAAAGACGGAAGGCTATGCTTCAATGCTTGGCCTCTCAACAGGCGGAAAATGCATGAATCCCATAAGTTCCAGCACTTTCACAAGCCCCATAACGAGAGCCTGAGCCGCTTTTGCAAATGGGCATTGTGGCATTGTGTATGCTGACTGTCGAGACCCCCCTGAACCTTGCAAGCCCACAAAGCCGGCCCACCAGTGACGATCTCAAGAAAGCCCCAAACCCCAAGAAGCCCCCTGTCCGCTCGCAATGCTCAAAGAGCTATTGGGGCATTGGAGCATTGGAGCCTTGAAGCCAACGGTTTCTGGGGGTTCGGCTTGGCCTCGAAAACCGGTTAGGCTTGGCCTCGACAACCCGAGACTGCCCTGAAAGTGCAGAACCCCGAACCCCTGAAGTTTCGACCCGAAAGCCCCAGTCTCTCAACGCAGCAAGGTCCTTCCTGGGGCCCAGCTGCCTGTGACGCGACACCCGGCCACGCTGGAGGAAGCTTTGTGGTACTTTTTCCGCGAGCCGCTCGGCAAGGCAAGTCTGAATAGCGGGCAGAGGCTCACGGCTCCGGGTTGACCGGCGTGACGCCGCAAAGGCTCCCCCAAACACTGCTAGGATCCCTCACGATCCCTCGGAAGCGCAGAAATTTGGACGGTATTTCGTGCAAGTGCTACCATTCGGAGTTACAGGCCAAGCAGCCCTCCACATGATGTCTTGCGTTCTTGACTTGGCTGGCTTAGGAACATCACGAAGGTGCAGGCCGTCTATCAGGAGAGTGTTGGCGCCTTAGGGGCTTCTTGTGATGAACCGGGGGGAGACTTTGCAGCATCCTTCCCAGACAGTCGCTTCCTGAGCGAAGCCAAGGAGTTCAGCGGAAATGGCGACATCATGATCAAGCGCATGATCCGCGACATGATGTTCATGTGCCCCTTGAGGCTCGCAACGTCCCAGAAGTCACCAGAGCTTCAAGGTGCCGGAGTGCCGGGACCGGCGGGGTTACAGTCGGATACGCCTCCCTGCAAACCCAGGACCAATCACAAACCAATCTTTCAATATGGAGAACGGCAACAACGCATGAAGCTTCCGTCAATCAATACTTGACGAGGCAAAAGCCGCTGCACCCTCCTCCCCACCATCAGTTCCACCAGCAGCCCAACGACGGGCCAGTAGATCAAGCGCCACTGGCTTCGTCCCAGCTGTTTTCACAAATTTTTGAACGAGTGGTGCAGGTGCAGGTCGAAGTGCGCCTTCAAGGACATTAAGTTTCCAAAGAAAGAGACATTAGAATATTATGAGATTAAGTTTGACGACCAAGAGAGAGCGTATTAAATTAATTCTGTATTTTACAAAAACCATTTAAAGAAACAGTATGTATATATATATATTAGATCATGATATACGGCCATGACATTAACCCATCGAAAGATAAGAAAGACACAGCAATGTTGAATAAAATTAACGAATATTTAAACTTAATCAAAGATGAAGTTATGAACGCTTTAACCGAGGTACAATACATTGAGGACAGATGTACTGTTATGATTTATGTAAGAAATGGAAAAATGATTGTTGAAATTACAGATCAAAGAACATTAGACATTATGAGACGAGAGGAGGAGGGAGACAAAGAAAACAAAGAACCAAAAGGAATGGCAAAACTTTATACTATAATGATAAGCGTAAATAGCATTTTCCTAATTAGTTTTAGTAAAATCCTATGTAGTTCCCAGTTCAGGGTTATTATCATTTGTGGGTTTTTCTATTAGGGTCTTACCCCACACCTCATGTTAGGATATTGGTTATTTTATGGATTAGGGTGAGTATTGTTTAGGTGCTTTGGGTTTTGGATTGTGTTTTGGATTGTTGTATTGGTTTGGTGGGTTGCTTTGTTTTCGGGATTATTGCATTGGTTGTTGGGAGGTGCTTTGTGTTTTGCGGGATTTAAGGGTTGAAATCTTAGGCGGGTTGAGAAATGGTGTGAAAGTGTGGGGGGGAGTATAGGATGTGAGGTGTGGGGTTAGCCATTGCTTGCTCTAAACCCTCAACTTTGTGGGAACCCGTTCTGCAGGGCATTGTCATTGGCCTGGGACCAGCAGCACCTTCCGGCGTTCATGTGCAACGACGGCAGGGTAGTGGTAAGAAGTTGGGGCTTCACTGTTTGGGTCGTTTGTTATTCCTCTTACTTTCGGCTCCTTTCCCTTAGTGCTTAGGCTTTAGAAGATGGCAAACTCCTGAAGACACCTCCAGAGACAGGGCCCGTAACAGGCCCAGGAAACCAGAGCTGCTGCTCGCAAGGTATGTCTTCGACTTCAACTATGGCCTTGCAAAGATCATCGGCCTCGGCGACTTCCATGGTTCAGAGCTACCGTTTGCCACTTTGGCTTGATGGAGATTATTCAGGATGCTCAAGGGCTGAGACTTCTTGGAGAGCCGGGGTGTGATCAATCTCTTTGCCAAAGGTGTTCCGGAACTGGTTGGAGTTCATCAAGCCGATCGATCCATTGCAGTCCCCGAGGAACATGGCTGTGCCTCGGGCCTGACGGGACGGTTGTATGCTTGGAAGTGGAATGATACGTTAGGGTGCTGTTCAAACCCTTAGGAAAGTTGCAGGGTCCTGGCATGGGCCTTGCCTTGTGGCAGCAACTGGCCCAACTGGTATAGTTAATGGCCAAAGCAGCTCACTGAGGACATCATCAGCTGCAAGTGGACTTCCTTTGCCTTTTCGCTGGATCCCAACGGTGCCTTGCTGGTACGTTATGGTACGTTCCCATGACCCTTAGCCCAGACCCTTTTCAATATGTGCGGATGAACTTGGTTGCGCTGCTTGCACGCAAGGCTTAAGGTCTGAAGCTGACGAAGTAAGTTGAAAGCGCTTGTATATCTCGTAAATAATCCAAGTGAACAGTGCTGTCCAAACCACTTGATCTCAAACACTTCCAGTGCATCGCTGTTTTTGAGAGTGAGGGCTTCTTGTGCTGGATAGGAAGCACCTTCACGGAAGCACCTTTCAATGGGACCAGTCCGAGTGAGGCGTCACAAAGCATCCAGAACCCTTTCACTCTTCCCTAGCCTGACCGAAGGGCCCCGGAATTCCAAGCTAGGTGGAGTCGATGAGAGCCGCTGGCCACCAGGCTGCGAGGTCCCTTATGCTGTGCGAAAATCGAACCAGGTTTTGTTAGGTAGGAGTCACTGGGCTGACTTGGTCGTCAGACCCTTGTGTATGAAACATGCTTGCAGTGTTGCTGGTAGACAAGCCGACAGGCACAGAAACTGCAGTCCACAGAAGTGTTCAGGGCATTCCGGGACTTCGTTGGTTTCAGGTGGTTCAGAGGCAAATTGGCTGACAGCAGTTCAAAGCGTTCTTCTATGCCAGAACCTCACACCTGACCGTAAACCCTGAACCTCAACGCCTAGCGCCACAGCCTCAGCTGAACGGCAGCAGGAAATCAACAGGAAGTTCTCGGACTGGCCCCGTTTCCACACCTCGCAGCGGCTGTTCTACGACTTGAAGAGCAGACGCTGGGAAAGTCATTCTATTCGCCTTATTGTGTTTTTTGTGGGCTGTAGATCTCAAAACCCTTAAATGCCCAAATGCCTCTGTCAGAAACCGCAGTTGTTGAGCTCGGAACCCGAGCTTTCAGAAGGTGAGGCCTTGGCCTGAGCTACAAGATCTACAAGCCGAAGCTCTGCAAAGCATGAGAGAGAGAGAGAGACTCTGAAAACCCACAGGTCTCCTGAGTCCAAGGCCCCACCACATCCTGGAATTCTCGAATCCCTCCACCCACATGCCCTTGAGCATCCCCAAGGACCGGAGGTGCACGAGATCCTGGAAGAAGCTTGGATAGGGTTTAGGGTTTAGGGTTTAGGGTTGAGGGTTGAGGGTTTAGGGTTTAGGGTTTAGGGTTTAGTACTCGTATTAGGGGATGCTCAAGTGAAGGGCCTGGCTCAGAGGGCCGCGTGGGGGTGTTGGGAGATGCTTGGAGCCCCGAAAAATTGGAGCTTCCTCACTATATATAATTGGGGAGTTGCTGGTGCGATTTCTTGGGCTTGGAGGGTTTGGAGCCCTTTTGGGGGTTGATTCCTTTCGCACGTCTCGGGGGTTTAAAAGGGGCTTGCTTGGAGTCCTCAGACTAAGACTTATGGAGGTTGGGGTTCGGTCCCAGGCCCTCTTTGGCATTGACCCAGGTATTACGATCTCACCATGTTCAAAAAGCAGAGGAATCCTACATGAACGTGACTGTAGGACAGTGTCCTAAGCCTTGGCCTTTCTTTACGTGTTGGGCTTGCAAGTTCTCATATTCGAGGGCCCACGACTCCCGTTTTCAATCCTTTTCGTCTGGTGATGGTGCTGAGGACAACCGGTACCCGGACGATTTGTTCCCTCGGGATGCCAAGTGTGACCTTTGGGATGAGTTGGCTTCCACCCTACAGTGGGTGCACGAAGGAGCCCACGCGAAATCGAAGTGGAAGTGGGGTAGCCGTCGGAGGGGTTTGACTCTTGAGGTGGTCATCATGTCTGCGTTGGCATCCCGTCAATCAAAGCTGCAGCACTGCCCACCACTGCCCACCACCCTGAATCCATCCTGTAGCGCGCGCCTGTGCGAGGACAGGGTGCTCATGGTGCCCGGCCATCCACAAGTCTGGTCGTTTGAGAGCCACCAGATGTGTGGTAGCGGATAAGAGCACAAGAGGCGCTGCTAAACTAAAGCCCCGAAACCGCAGCCAGTTGCCGGGAGCCTTTTGGTTGTGCGAGTCCTTAAACCCTAAACCCCTACCCCCCCCCCCCCCGCCCCCCCCAATTGCTCAAAACCTGGACCTACAAGTAAATCCAACCCTCATACTATCGAAGCTTCATACATCCCACTAGAGTCAAGAGAGGGCTGCCTTGATAGATGGTACGTGTTTAGCAATCGGGCCAGTCTATCGGCTTGCAGCACATCATCATGCAACCCCTCAGGGCTTCAAACGTACTGGGAACTTTTGGAACATATCCCCGAGCCCACACCGGCCACAACTGTGGGCAACGTGGCTGGTTGCAGCCACGCCTTCTCACCGCTGGGCGTTTGAACCCAGCGGCTCAGCGGCCCTTTAGAGGTCTTTGAAGTTCCCCGTCCTGGGCCCGTGGATGAGCTTACAGGTGACGTGGTTCTCAGGTTCAAACTTAGTGTTGAGGAGCTTAAAGGCGTTTGAAGGATGCTCTTTACGGCGAAGCGCTCCCAAAATCTCCTCATCCAGGAACTGACACCACATGTTTGTGCCAGTCTTCGTTTTGAACGGGCTTCGGTTTGCGGATTTTGGGGCTCTGGGTACCATGCACGACCTCCACACGCTCTCCACAAGTTGAGCCCAGGGCCTGTGATGCAGGTGCTGACACCAGTTTCTCATGGTCAGGGTCCTGCAAGTCGCCCCTGACAGAAGTGACATAAGCCCGAATCCACCAGAGCAGGCCGGCAGTTGAGAAGCCTCCAAGTCGTTTGTATGTAAAGCGGAGGTCAAAGTTCAGGTCCGGTTCCCATGTTTCAATATGCCCACCCTTGTAGCCTAGTACTAACCACTGGAAGCCACCTCTCTGAAAAACACTACAACCTTAACTCCACATGAAAGCCGGACCCGATACTTTGACGGATCCCTCGCAGTCCAAAGGGACGCGTCTTGACCCACAGGTAGCCCGCGTTGTCGCGCGGGGCGAACAGGGTCTCGGAAAGAGTGCGCAGTTTTACAACATGTCACAACAGCCCAACCCACTTCACCATGTTTTCAGCCTCGGGCTTATCATTGTGGAAGGGATTTTAGCTTTGATTCTAGCATCCAAAGAAATCCTAATTATCAGTCGCCTTATGGCTGCCAGTCCACGCGGCTCTCGATCAGGGACCTGCATCAGCCTTTTCCCTGCGTCGGCCCTTTTCCCCTGACACCACCCCACCCGCAGCAGGGTTAAGAGGATGATGGTCTGGTGTGCTCTACATATCCTAGGCAGCAAAACCTCGACATACGAGTTGTCTCCTGTTACCGTTGACGGCATTAAAGATTCAACGAGCGTGTCATGGAGCACCCATAATATGAGCCATCAAGCCGCATGAGCTTCGCGGAGTCAAGAATTGCTACACCCTGAACTCTACGGGCAGTGCCCTTCGCGGAGGCAGCACCGAAAGCATGGGCTGAGGCACGGCGGGAGAAGATACGCTTTTGGGCTTTGAGGCTTTGAGGGTAAGTCTGGGTAAGCGATGATGTTCCCATCCCAGTGCTGTCCCATCCAGGCAACTGCGTTCGTCCAAAGACACCTGGCGCTGAAAACTCCAGCAGAACGGGCCCGTGACTTTTAGCCCCCTAGCCCGAGCCCCTATTCTAGGCTTCATTCTATGACATTCTATGAGGCTGATCTGGGCCGCAGAGATCGACTTCCAGTTTCGGGATATGTTATGCCAGTTATGAGGACTTTGATCCCTATTAGGCCCCCACCTGTGCAATGCAGACCAGGAGCTCCACGAGACTGGATCGAAGATCAGGCCCAAGAAGCCGGAGTTCTCTCCGTCCGTTCGGTGTTGTTTCGAGAGAACCCGTATGTTCCAGTACCCTTGTATTCCACTATAGGTTCCATTCTATTCGATTATATGCCATTATATTGAATCACATTTCTTGTTGGTATCCATAAATGCCCCAAAGCGGAGCGGCCCACAGGGCACAGGAGAGGCGTTTCTTTGCATTTTCCACGCTATTCCATGACAGAATCTCGCACAATCTGCTGAGACCTGACAACAAGTGGTGCAGACTCCCTTGACTATCTGCGGAAGCGCATTGCTTCCCGAAAACCCTCGAAGCCCTTGTGAACCCCGCCTTGTGAAAACCCACCCAATCCAAGAACAACAGGCTCCAGCGTGGAGGCCAGGCTGCCTCTGAGGCGGCCCCCGGTGCATGTTTCCAGATAAGGTTTGCATGCGACTGTAGAACCCGCATGGAGCTGGAATCCTCAATCGAAGCCCATCGAAACCCTATGCAACCTTGAGCCCTGAATCCATAGGACCACACAGGGCTGAGCTCTCTGCAACTTGAGCCCAGAGCCACCCCAGCCGCAGCCGAGGCGCTGCGCGTGGCCTCAGCGTCGCTTCGACGCTCGGGGGCCCTGGTGGGATTTGAGGTTGGGGCTTCCTCTTGGCGTCTTCCTCTTGGCGTCGAGTCTCGGTTTCTTTTAGGGGTGTATGTTTGGGCAAGTGCAGCCTTTAAGTGGGTGTCCCGGTTTGGGCTTGGTCTGCTCACAGGCATCCTCGGCAGCTCGGAGGACGAAACCGGGTCGCAGCCTGGCTAAGCGGAGAGGTATGGACTTTGCAGAGCTTGGGAATGTTTAGGAGCTCGGGGCTGCCATGGCTGCTGTCCAGAAATGTTGCGTTTTTCCAAGCCACACTACACAGAGCAATGATAGTCACGCCTCTGTGATTGTTGTTTGTTTTGGAAAGCGTTCTTGCACAGCACCGTGTGATAGCAAAGCTGCAGCATGTTTCAGGTTGCGATTTCTGCAGGTCATGTTTGTCTTGAGACTGTAAGGGTTTGCCCCCCAAGAACGGCGCCCGGCATGAACAAAGTACTCACATGCACTGAGGTACTTTGACATTGGTGCCATTGCGCTCTCGCTGTGCTGCAGGGGACCCTAGACGAGGACTTTGCTCAGAAGGATTTGGGTGCTTCGCTCGGAAGGCCTCGGTTGTTTATGGTTTTACGGAGTTCAGGGTTTTGGGCAAAGCTTAGCGGTGAGGATTGTCAGGTTTGCATAGGGTGTCGTTTTTTGGGCCAATGTCCGCATGTTCAAAGCGCTGCTGTCAGGTGCCGCGCGCGCGCGGAGGTGCCAGTGAAGGCGCCGCTGGGCGCTGGCGCGAGCTGCGGGTGCGCTCGGGGTGTGGGGAGTGGCCCTGAACTTGCAACCCCTATCGGACCATGAACTTCTCATTTGTTGCGGGCGTTGAGCTGAGTTGTCTTCTTGGGGCTCCACAGGGTTGGCTTGATTCTCCCAGGTTCTAAGGCTTTTCGATTGCAAACAATAGCCAAAAAAATGGCCTGTTGACCCCTCCGACAAGAACACTTCAGAGAGTGATCGGCCGAGCTTGGTCGAGCTTGATGCGGTTTGGAATCTTCTTTCGTGGGAGATGTCACATGTCGCCCTGAAGAGGTCGCGAGTCATTGGCAGCAACACATGTCAAGGCGGGGGGGGGGGGGGGGGGCGCGCAACGGTCTGAAATGCTCTGAGATGCTCTGAGGGGTGAGGGTGACTTCGGACATTCAAGCATGTGGGATGGTTCCGGGATGTTCAGCGTTCGGGGCGTCAAGCGATCAAGCGTTTTGGGGGCACCATCGTTTCGTTTTTGGCACGAAGCAGATCCCAAGCCTCCGAAACCCGACAGTCCCGACAGCCAAAGAAAGGCTCTGTGACACGAGCTGGTGCTACTGGATCCGTCTGCTCGGCATGCGCTTGGTGAGCGGTTGTGGCTTCGGGGCCCGGGTTGGAAGGGCTACGTGGGGTTCTTTCGCTCCGTGGCAGCAGGTGTCCGGGCCGAGGGTTGCGTCGGTTCCAGATGTTCCACTCGTCACTAGACTATGTGCCAATGGCATGATTCAGAGCCGTGCGAGAAGATGCATGAGAAGGTCACCGAGTATGCCATCGAACATCTCACCTTGTGGAGGCTAAGCCCGTCTGAGTTTGCTAGATATGTAGAGTGGCGTTGGCTTTTTGTTGGCTTTTTGTACTAGTTCTTGTTTTTCGTGCCTCTTAAAACACGGAGCCATCAGCTTTCGAAAGGGCGGCTTGATAGCTGCAGCCTCCAAAGGCCCGAAACCCTGAACCCGAAATTTCACGCAGCTGGACAATCGATGCTTCAAAAACTTCAAGCCGAGCGTTCGTGTTGCCGGGCGCAAGGGCATCGTCGCAAGCTGTTGTTGTCTTAGTGTCTTAGTGCCAGGCGAGCTGCTGCCAGTGCTGCTGGAAGAGCTGCGGGCATCGTCCATGGTGGGCGTCCGGGAGGGGTAGGTTCTGTGGAATTGGAGTGGCTTTGTAATCGATCCGACTCGGAACCCCCCCCGGCCCCCCCCCCCAAAGAAAAGAACTGCTTTGGGAGGTGCCGGCACTACCACGGCTCTTCGCTGCTTTTGCTTCACCCTTGGAAGCAATGGTGCCTGCAGGCATCGGCCCGGCACTTCGTCTCGGGCTTGATTGGAGGATGCCGTGGACTTCCGAAAGAAATTTCCCCAAGCAAACAACCCTAAGCCCCACAGATGCTCAGCTGCCACCGAATCTCCGCCGCGCCGCCGCGCAGCCTGAAGCCCATCTGAAGCCCCCTTTAACAGCTTTCTTGGCCTGCCCGCGGCCAGGGCGCGCCCACGACGCGCTGCTCTTGGAGCTGCGCAAGGCTCTGGAGGCGTCGAGGGCCGTTTCTTCAGGGCCGTTGATGGGTTCAGCCTCGAGATCCCTAGAGCCGACATCCTGTAAAGTAGCATTGGGTTCGTTAAGTGTAGAAGAGGAGGGAGTTTTGGGTTTTGGATGTGAGTTTCGGGCTTAAGGGTTAGGTGACCTGGCACTGCACCATATGCGATCCTTTCACGCGCGTGACCCTACATACGCCGCGCCTCAACCCCCTCAGCCCCGGACCCTGAGGATCCTAGAGGCCAACGCTCCTGCAAGGTGGGCATCATGCAGCCGCTGTGCGCAAAGATCGAAGAGGCCCCCAATTCGGTGCTTCTCTCGGAGCCTTCGGGGGATCAGTGGGTTGGTCGTGTGTGGTTTGGTGAAGGGTTCAGGGCTCAAATCGTTGGGTTCACAAGAAGACAACAAGAAGGCGGCGACTTATCTTCTTTCTATTCCTCTCGTGGCTTCGCTGCCTTGAGCGATCTCCAGCTATCTTTCCCTTTGGGACTCGTACGAGTATTGCTTGGTCCTGAAATGATGTGAGCCAGCTGGTGTCACAACACGTGCAACTATCAAAGACTCAATGCAGGATCTGCGGCTGCTGGCACATGCCACGATGCAGGCATCGGATTCCCGCACAGTTTCCAGAAAGAATGCAGACGGCCTGCGTGTTCAAATTCCGAAACTTAACATCCGATAGGCCAACGTCTACATGTAAGTAGGCAAGCCAGACTCTTGTGAGCCAAGCAGGGGGTGCGGAATGCCTGGCCCAGCTCAGAGGTTCATGTGTAAAAAGCTAAACATCGCATCAGATAGATAAGTGATGGAAGTCTACACAGCTGAGCTGGACGGCTGTATACTCTATACCTCCTTGAAGGCGAACAGGGAGGCCTTGCCGCTCGCGCCACCGGAGGAGGTCCGCCGGGCAGTTGAGCGTCTCAAGGATGGGCTCAGGGGGGGGAGTTTGGATCTGGTTTATGTGCAGTCCTGTTAAAGACCTACTCGCCTGCAAGCTTCGTGCCAGCTGGCTCGGTGGATCTTGAGAGGGCACCGTCCAGGATGGGTGCGTGAGGTATCGGTTTTTCCTCCAAGAGGTCTGCGTCTCGTTTCTTGTCCTCTGTGATGAAGAGTTGGAGCCGTACTTTTGGGGCGATTTTGCGTGCAGAGCTGCCAACTTGACTTGAACTTGTGCCACTCAAAAGGTATGCAACCTTCAAGTTGCAACTAATGTGTGGAGTTTAGCTACTGTCTTCTGGTACCAGGTGATCTAGTCATGGGAATCTTGCCGACCCAGTCTGTTCCTCGAGGTCTGTCATTGGGGGATAAAGGTGAGAGTTGCCAATTCATTCCCCAGTGCATCTTTCCACGTTGTGTCGAAGCTGATGACATTTGCACCATTGGAGCAGTCTCTCTTGAAGAACCCTAACCCTAAACCCTAAACCCTAAACCCTAAACCCTAAACCCTGAGGATGCTGCCCAAAAAGATGACGGCTTCTGAAGGCACTGGCGCTGCTGCAGCTGCGGCCCCTGCGCTTGACGGCCACGGATGTGGTGGACCTGAAGGATCAGGCCGAATGTTTTAGGGTTTAGGGATGCTTAGGGGTTTAGGGTTTAGGATAGGGTTTAGGGTTTAGGGTTGTTCAGGGTTCGGTCTTCAGGCCTGCAGGATGTTTGGGCGTGGGGGGTTTCAGGGTGGAGGCACAAAAGTCGACAAGTGTCCACACTATGCATTCGACTGGTCTGAACTGATTTGTCTCAGGAACTGTCATTTTTTGCGAGCGTGTCCGCTCCGCATTGGGTATCGCTGCTGTTGCTACCTTCACAGCTATGCACGCGCATCACCATCATTCGTTGTGGCTTCGGCAACAAAAGTTCCTTACTTATTGTGACTATGCCAGCGTAGACCTGAAACGATGCAGGACCACGACGCACTGAAGTGTAAATCCTCTTAGAACGGATGCGCGAAGCGAACCTCGATTTTGGACTACACGTGCGTACGTCAACCTATTCCTCTTTGCCGCGTTCGGCCACACTGTTTGGTACACGCAGCATGTCGTTCCCCATGCAAGCTCTCTCTCCGGACTTGCTTATGGCCTGCAGCAACTCTTGCCACGCTCCCTCATCACACGTTCATGTCAGTCCACTTTTCGTCTTGCTTGTACTTGTTGGTTGCAGTATGGTGTGGTGGTCTCCCCAACAAGTTGGGCATCCCCAGAATCTGAAACTGAAGAGGTGGAACTTCGCCTGAGCCGGCACTTCTACGATCTGGCAGCCCTGGCGCCCCAGGACGCCGAGGCAGCTGGGAGCGCAAGCGACGTGCCAAGCCTCAGGCCCCAAGCCCGCCACAAGGCCATCCACACCCATCCAAACCCCTTGCCGGAATTCCCAACGAGCCGCAGTGCAGGCCTATGCGCGCATGCGATCCGTGGCGCTGCAGCGCCAGCAGCCCAGAGGGGCCCGGAAGGAACCAACATGGTGGGTAAATGTTGGGAATAGCGTCCTTACGCGGGGAACAGTAGAACCTTTGCTGACCCTTTTCCCTACCAAGACGGGATGTTCGTTTTCATCATTGCAAACCGCTGCAAGGCTCTAGTCTAAGTCTAATCATGCATGTCGGCGTTGGCAGTATCAGCTTCAAGGTGCCTGACAAATCTTGTTAGGACTTCACAATCTCCTTGCAGTCAAGTCAAATCTCTCCAGAGCCCTCTCATATCACACCGTGTAGACATGCGTGGACACATGTGGACCCCCAGAGCAGGTTACGGACTCGACCTCCTCGACGGCGGGTTGCCGGCTGGTTCTTTGGCTCAGGGGCAGGGGCCCCAGGGCCGGTGGGCCTTGTAAGGTGATACATGACGAAAAAGGGCTTCAGAGTTCCCATGCTCGGGTTTAAGGGACAATGCAGTATGCTAGGCAACAACATTTGAGGCTACGTCGGAATTGAGGGCTTTTGTCAACCACTATTGGGTTCTCATAGCACACCCAGTTGAATGGCCGGTGACAGAGGGGTCGCGTGATTCCTACGTGCTGTAGGCCAGAGAAAGATGACAGAGCCTAGCAGTTGAGCACACCCAGTTGTAATATCAAGGTTCGTTGTGTTTAGCAGCGCAGCTCCGCTGGGGCAGCAAGAGTTTCTTCTGGTCACAAAGACCTGCCGAGCATCAGCATGCCGCTGCTGCACATGTGAACCTGGACGCAGACGTCGTCGGAGAGTCAAGGCACCAAACAATTTGTGAAAAGGAACTGGGCGAGAATGCAACAATGACAGTGACTGCAGCTTCCAACCACGTGCGGCTCAAGGCGCACTCGACAAATGCAACTCTTACGGGGGTGGTGCCCTTTGGACCCACAAATTTGGGATTGCACCCCCTTCGCCTCCCTCGCCAGTGTCCATCATGTTCTTGGCTCCTTCAATTCGCTTTCTGGACCACGTGGTATGCATGTACCATGCAATGCCCCTTGAGCTCACCAAGCTTCTCGCTACAGATTCTCACCGTGCATGGTGAGCTTAGAAGCCCTTGACGGCTGAGGTTGGATGTGATCGATGTGATGCGAAATGTCCACCTCCTGGCTACGCAGTCCGCTTCCTTGCCGGCTTCCAGCATAGCTAATGATGATGGGCTACACAGATAGCAGGGTTTCGAGGAGTTCGGCAGTTGATTTCGGGGCAGAACTTGCATTGCCCCAAGCAGAGCGCTTCAGCAGAGAATTTCCCCAAAGTGCCAAATTCCTTGCTGCTAAGCTGCCGTACGCAGGTACTGCTACAGCCTGCACCAACAATTCTTCACTCAGGCCTTCTGCCGATTGTTTTTAAGCATCTTGGCGTCTCAGGCTTTCCCAAATGGTAATTTTCACAGGGGATGCGGGGGGGCGGGGGGTGCGGTGATCCTAAAAGGACTATGTTGGTTTTTCCCCGGTTTTGGGTCCCAGCCCTGTTCAGAGGCATCCAACCAGGGCGAGGCAAAGATTCGAACGATCACGGTGGAGCCGCCCGCCTGCATTTTGGAGGCATGCAGCATGCATGTAGCAAGCATGTGCCACTCGACGAGCGCCTTCATCCACCCCGAGGGACGCCTAAGAAATCACAGCTTGCTGCTTGCTGCCTGACCTATGCCCGATGAACGGGTCTGCTGCCAATGCTTTTCAGGACTGCATCCCATCCGGGGCATCTTCTGTCCTCAAAACATACGCATGTAAACCAGGACCACACACTAGCACCCTGCCTACGTCCTAACTCCACAGCCCCGAAACCTTAAACGTCCAAATCACGAGAGCCAGCTGAAGCTCAGCCCGAGCTCCAGGCACCTTGCAGCTTCGATCCGCGTCCATGGCTATGGGGTCATCAACACGGCCTGGGCCCCAGGAGTCTAATGATTTCGGGCTTCATAGCTGAAGGTCATGTGGCCGACATATGTGGCCGACAAGCAAAGAAAGATCCAGCTGAGGCTGTGAACTACAGCGTTGGCTTCATCAAGCGCAAGTTGGAGGCGAGAGCTGCAGATACTCCTCTCCCTGAACTCGCAACCCGAAGCTAAGTTTCGAAGTTATGCAAGCGTAGCAGTAGGTGTGTAAGGTGCACGTAAGGTGCACCTTAGCTGGGTCCTGGTTCAGGGGCTTCAGGTCGTTCGGAGAGGTCGATCTTTGCGTGTGTTTTTCAGGCTTGTGCTCTTGTTGCTTGCAAGTTGTAGTGCTCCGCAGGGCTTGCTGCATGTTTGCCGGCATTCAGACACCTTCAGCTAGCCTGCTCAAGGCTTAAGGGCCAGTTACAGCATGGAGAGCCATCCCCGCAGTCTGGAAGACCTGCTCTCCGGCAATGGCAGCCTGCGCGAGCGCGACTTCAACAATGCCATCAGCTGTTGCAGGGCTTTTCTTTGGCGCACAATCGGGTGTACGGGCTGGTAATGCTCAATAGTTCATTATACTTCAACGTGATCGTATGCATGTTGTGTTTTTTAAGTTTCCTTCGCGCATGCGTCCTCCCACAACACTTCAGGCTGCGGGAAAGCCCGGCAATGGCAGCTGAGCCTCCAGCTGCTCTCGGCGATGCCTGCCGGGAAGCTGTCTCCCGACGCGGTGAGCTTCAGTGCGGCCATCAATGCCTGCGAGAAGGTAGGGGAGTGGCAGAGGGCCGTGCATCTCCTTCGACAGATGACTGAGGTTCAGGTTTCCCCTACCGTGATCAGCTTCAATGCTGGTATAAGTGCTTGCGCGAAGGGGGGGGAATGGCAGAGAGCCTTGCAACTCCTGTCTGAGATACCGACAGCAGGGCTCCTGCCCGACGTCATCAGCTTCAGCGCGGGGATTAGCGCCTGCGAGAAGTCAGGGCACTGGCAGCAGGCGCTGTGGCTCCTTTCAGAAATGGAGGCACAGGAAGTGAGGGCCGACGTCATCTGCTGCAACGCAGGCATCAGTGCGTGTGAGAAGGGTGGTCAATGGCAAATGGCGCTCAAAATATTTTCTGACATGCCCAGTGCCAGACTTGCAGCCGACCCGGTGAGCTATAATGCCACCATCACCGCACTTGAAAAGAACGACAGCTGGCAAGAGGCACTGCAGCTTTTCGAGACCATGCCATTGGCCAGAGTAGCTCCTAGCACGGTCAGCTTCAATGCAGCAATCAGTGCATGCGAGGCAGCCGGTCAGTGGCACATGGCTGTTCAACTGCTGTCTAGAATGCCAGGAGCTGGTGCCAGAGCCAATGTGATCAGCTTCAGTGCTTGCATAAGCACTTGTGAAAAAGCTGGTCAGTGGCAGATGGCACTGCACTTGCTCTCAGACATGCCACTGCTTGAGCTCAGACCAAATGTGGTGAGCTTCAATGCCACCATCAGCGCCTGTGCAAAGCGCGGGCTCTGGCAAGCGGCGCTGCACTTGCTGTCCAGCATGGCAGTCCATCAGATTGCATTGACGGCCATCACTTTCAATGCAGCTATCAGTGCATGTGAGAAGGGTGGGTTGTGGTGCGAGGCCCGTCAACTCCTTTCGGACATGCCTGAAGCCAAAGTTCTTCCAAACGTCGTCAGTTTCAGTGCCACCATCAGCGCCTGCGAAAAGGCAGGGCAGTGGCAAACGGCACTGCACCTCTTATCGGACATGCCAAATGCAGGCATCACGGCCAACGTGGTCAGCTACAATGCCAGCATGACCGCTTGTGAGAAGGCTGACCAGTGGCAGTTGGCGCTTAAGCTTCTTTCACAAATGCCACAAGCCAGGGTGCCGAGTAGTGTAATCAGCTTCAGTGCGGGCATCAGCGCATGCGAGAAGGGGTGTCTGTGGCAGATGGCCCTCCATCTCCTGACGGACATGGAAGCGGCAGGCGTCAGGTCGAACGTCTTCAGCTATAATGCAGGCGCCAGTGCCTGCGAGAAAGGTCGGCAGTGGCAGTTAGCCCTTCTGCTGCTCTCTGAAATGCTGAGGGTCGAAGTTGCACCCGATGCATTTACCTACAGCTATTGTGTCAGTGCCTGCGACAACAGTGGTCAGTGCCGGTGGATCTTGCAGCTGTTGGCGGAGCTACCATGGCAGCTATGCTCTGCATGATCCTGCCGAGCGCAAGATTGCGCCTTTCCGGACCCCAAGCCCCTCTCCAAACCCCCCCCCTCTGAATTGCTGCGCCGCCGCTGCACCGCCGGGTCTCCAGTGGCAAGCAGCGCCAGCTTTTAATTGACAAGGTGCAAGCCCTTCAGACTTGACACTTTTAACAGCCCCCCCTTTTCCGGACTCCACGGTTGCGACATTTAACAAAAAAGGCCTCTCGTGCAAGAAGACCGCGGCAGCCTTTGGGAAGGAGCCTGTGAGCCCAGTGTGATCGAGAACCTTCTCACTCATGAAGCAGTCGATGGATCCCAAAGCCTCAGAGCTTCATTACCCCACAGCAATATCTGCAGAACTTCACTCATACCAGGATTTCCTACGGGCTTTTGCAAAAAATTCCAAACGTATCGGGCATACCGAGTGCCTGCTCAGTCACTTTAAAGGGGTGCAGTTCGCCCGGTGCATTTGCTAGGTGGTGGCCGAATTCCTTGCCGATGAATCGGCCCCTTGGATTTGGCGCAGCCCAACCTGTGGGTTCCGAAAGCTGAGCAGAGGATCAAGCAATTGCAAGCATAAGTGCGAATTAGTGCGAATCCCCAAGTCCCCAAAGCGCTCCGACTCCCGCCCTAAACTTTCTAAGTTCTATTCATCACTCGTTCATCCTTAGACGCTGCCCAAGGTGAAATCTCGGCTCCTGGCTGACAAGCAGTGGATGCAGGGAAGGAGCTGCTACACCTGGGCCGGGGGGCCCGGGGGGTGTAGACAAAAGAGCGCCTTGAAGCTTCTAGCCTGTTTTTGAGAAATGGGGAAGCAGGGGAAGCACCCTCGACTCCTTCGCAAGGCGCGAGGGGTGGAGTCGGCGAAGATCATCCGAAGGCTCTGAGGGTTCAGAGGATGTGCTGAGTTTCGGTGGGGGGGGGGGGGTGCCGGGGCTGTGAGACAAGCGCCGCTGTGGCGTAAGAAGCCCCGAGCCAGGCTCGGCGCTGGTCGAGACGGCGCCCGGCCCCGAGCGTGATGTTCCAGGAACTTGGGGCGCCTTGCAGGGCTCTGAGGTACTGAAGATCCCCCCCAATGGCCACCTTGCAAATACCTGCGTGTTTTTCTGTATCGGGATGAGACCGGACAAGTCAAAAGATTCGACTTGAGTCGAGGTCTCCTTCCTGGATAAGCTTCGACAGGCTGCGGGGAGGCTTCAGGAGTCATTTGGAGCTCGTTTGCGGGAAGGCGGGGTTGTTCAGAGGCATGGTTATGGGGTCTGATTTCGTAAAGAACCACTGCCAGCTGCACTACAGAGGTGGGGTCGGTGGGCTCGGGAAGCAAACGAGCTTTGCAAGGCTGAAAAGCGTCGACGACGGAGCTTCCACCAGTGGCCCTGAGAAGTCTCGAGCAGCACTCAACCTTCAAATCCGACTTTTTGGAGCCCCAAGCCCCAGTAACAGCAACCTTAAAGCACAAAAACTCCCAAATTCCCCTCAAGCCACCAAACGTTGTGTCAGCCCGGACCCGACAGGTAGTGTCGCAGATTGGAAACAGCCTTGGCTACGTGCGAATGGTGAGGCATGCCATGCCATAAAGCTTGTGGAGTGTAGCAAGTTTACCTTGTGGGCATGAGAGTTCAGGGTGGGTTTCGGTGGGGAGTCGATATGAGTGGGCCCTCGACTCCCCCACTCGATCATCCAAGCCTACAAGATCATCTTCAGAACGGGGTGGCCACAACATGCTCCGTGGCTACGTATCGTGCAGAGTCCTTCTTGTTTGTTGTGCGCTTTGCAGTGCTTAGCAGCCGAGGGTGCAATGCGTGAGGAAAAATCTCACGTCATGGCTGACACTTCGGGGGCTGGTGAAGTTGGGGATCGGGTTTGCTGGGATCCCGGCGTGCTGAAGGTAGAAGGGCCAAGGTAGGAGACCCAAATTGGGGTTCCTGCAGGTTTAGAGCCATCCAGAACCTTTCCGACTTGGAAGTGCTGCAAACCCAATTGAGTCTACTCTAATCTGCTCGTTCAGGGGGTGGCTTAAGAGTTCTCTGCTTGATACCCTCTGAGACCTGCCCTGGCAGGCCTCCAGCCCCACCTGAAAGCCGAAAGAAAGCCCCAAAGTCCTAAAGACAGAATCCCCAACGGCGATCGCAGACCTCTATGAGCTCTCGACAAGCCCTTAAAGCCCCAAGCCTGATCACCCAAAGTCAGGACGGCGGGGATGCGCAGTATGGCAGGAAGCCTGGACTTCTTGGAGGTGGGTGAGTCGAGGATTCTGAGAGCCCGGGATTGCTGGGGCTTCGCTAGCATAGTCGAGTTTCTTTATGTGTGGCTTTGCACTCTGGGGGGTTGCAGGGAAGATGTTGGCCTCTTCGCCTGACACGCGGCGTTGGCCCCAAACCCTGAGTTCTGAATTTGGAATCCCTTTACGACGGGATGGTAAAGCTGGAAACAGACCTTCGAATACCCCCAGCACACCTTCCAAGGGCCCGCCAGCTTTCCCTCAAAACCCAAGCATGCTCAACGCGCAGCCGAAACCACGGAAGCACTTGGGCAGGCAGCCCCGTGGCTGGGCAAGCGCGAGCAAGGCCTCTCGAAGTCCTGACTCAAGGTTACTGTTAGGATCAAGTTGCGAGAGGGGGCATCAAGCCCCTAAAGCCCATTTGTCTAAGCGTAGTTATATGGGCCCTTAATGTGGTCCCTTGCCTCCTTTAAAGGGTTCCGAAGTATGTGGTAGTATAGGGTATAAAAGGGAGAATTTCAAGGCTCCTGGGGTCCGGAGTTTGAGAGTTAAAGTGAAGGGTTCTTACTACTTAGGGTATGAAGGTTTCTCTGCTAGGTCTAGGGTCTGCCGAGGTGATGACGTTAGGCTTACCTGAGGCTTTCGCGTGCGCGTTTTTGGTCACCTTGCATGCAGGATCTCCGGAATGCGGTTTCGGTATTCCTCAGCGCTCGTCGACCCGAACCCCAAGAGCTCCTAATCACTGAATGGTGGAGCAGGTGCCGATAGCCTGACGAACGAATTCTTGGAGGCTGGGGGCCATACATGGGGGACCCGCGCCACATGCATGAATGTATCTACACCATAATATGTGTATATGTACAGCGTAATACTGTAGTAGAAGTAGGGGTCCGCAAGCATTGCCGTCTAAGCCGCTACACGCCAAATTAGGCATTATGTTAACAGTGGCGTCCGCTCGGTACAAACTTTTTTAGCATGTTCGTTACACGCAAATAAAGAACTGTTTGCGGTCCCAGACCTGTTGCGACAAGATTCCTTTTATTGTACTACGACCGCGACTGGTCGACCACAAGTATGTTACTACCAGTACCAGGTTCTGTACGCGGGCAGCGTAGGACATGTTACTTACCATGACACTCCCCAACTGGAATTCACCCCCCTCTCCTTGTCTCTTAGCCCCACCCATCCTGTCACGCGAGTGAGGCTGCAGAGTCCGCCTGCAGTGATGCTGCAGTAAAGGAGGCATGCTTGCCATTGGGAACTTTTGACAGAATGGCGCCGTGTAGGGTTTAGCATTCCCTGTGTAGACATGCTGGCTGCAACTGGCTGCAACCCCTTCATTCCTGCCAGGATGAAAGCAGAAGCTTCGAAACACTCGAGTTCTCCGGGTCGTTACTCGCTTTCGTTCTGAAACCCAACATCCCACAAAACAAACTCCGATGGAGGGTGCTCACCTCGCGGACGCCGCAGCTCGCAGCGTCCGGCGGTGCTTTGAGGCAGGTGAGGGGAGATGGGTATGCTTGTCAGCGCGGCATAGGCGATGCTGCAAGGTAGTCGCAGGTCGCCTCAAGCCCATCCTTGCCGAAACTTGCAGGCCAGCACGGACCATCTCAACCTATTGGCAGACGTTTTTGCCAAGGCCCTGGCAAGGCCAGGAGTGTGCAGTTGATCTCCTAAGCTCTAAAGATGGATATCCAGTCCCAGCCCGGAGGGTGTCCCGAAGTCACAAAAGCCGAGGGTTCACCCGCCCTGAAACCTCTCCGACTTAGGCGGCAGGTTTACAGCCCCCTCGGCCGGTTTTCCACTAGAGGTGCGTTGCCGACCCTTCGCTGTAAATCTCAATGGTGCTCGACCATGAAGCTGAAGTGTTGGGTGGAAGATCCCACATCGCACAGGTTTACGTGCTTAAGCGCCTGTACTCGTCCAGGCCACTGGGTGGCGGCGTGGCGCCGCGACTCTTCCACCTCCTGGTGCTTGGGCACCCGGAGTCATGGATATTGCTCATTATAGGCGTCCAAGGGAACGTTCGATGTTTATCTTTGAAGGGGGGTAGCTTGGGTTTAGTGGCTCTTGGCTCAGGGGGTAGAATGTCGAGGGTCAGGGAGGTCGAGGCCCTCAGAACGCTACACTTTTCAAGCTTGGGATCCTAGCATCTAGGAGGAGATATACGCTTCTTCTTCGCAACTTTCGCGTGTTTGGAAGAAAGTTGGGGTACCACAGCCCCGAGTGATGTCCGACCAAAACCGAAACCTGCGGTAGTCACTGCAGTCTTCAGGCTCAAATCACAAAATGGTACATGCCTACCTGCGAACCTTCTATTCCGCCACTAGAGCCTACACCCTGAGCGCGAAAGCCTTTGAAACCCCGAACCTCTGAACTCAAAAGCCACAGCGAATCCAAGCCGGCTGTGACCCAGGCCTGCCATGGGCTGCTGCTTCCTCGATTCGCTTCTCTTCGGGTCGGGGTCTAGGGCCTCGAGGGCTTTTTTGGGTTTTCTGGGAGGTTTGAGCTTTTTCCGGCAATTGATGATGCGATTTGAAACTTGAATGTGGGGCATGATAGACGCAGGAGGTCACATAAGAACCGTTGGGGGAGACTGCGTGGCTGGCATACCAGGGCGTCCAAGATCTCGGGCCTTCATTAAGTCTACGAATAATTACGAATATGAATCCCAAGCCAAAGGCCAAATTTCGCCAACCAACTGATGGCAGTGAATCCGGTGCCTGCAAAGATGCGGAAGAGCATGAAGGCTCGACTAAGTCTGAACCTCAGCATCCCTTAGAACGCTTCCAAACTCAGCCTTCCCCGGCCTTCCCCCCCAAAGACCAAAATCAACAGAATTGAACCAAAAGCCTCTCGGGATTCTTTTTGAGGGTACATGTTTCGGCCTTCTTCTGCAGGCGTGAGCTGCTGGCCAAGCGCGCAGTCACGCCATCCTCTCAATACTGCAGGGGAGGGGAGTCAGAAATTATAGGCATGGGCAATCCCATGCCCTAACAGGGCTAAAGGCTAGTAGGGGCTTGACTCTTGATTCTCCCTGCAAGACTGCTGAAGTGAGCTGTTTTGCGAGTTGTTGTTTTGGGTTGAGAGGAGGGGCCTTGGCTTTTCCGGGAACCTGCAGACTTCGGTTTGCCGATGCCTTGCGAGCTATTGGGAGGGTGAGACTTCAGCTACAACCAACCCCGACGTATCGAGGAACGACGCAGCAAATCCAACCCCAAATACTTCATGAAGTACCCGAAATCCGTAAACCATCGTAAGCCCCAAGTTAAAGCCGTTTGAAGCCGATGGGTCCAGACCGAGGCCTACTGGTGCGAAGGGGGATGCCGTTCTTTTCGACGATGGCTTCGCAGTGGGCGTGGCTTTTGTGTCACTTGCCACGAGATTCGGGGCTGTAGAGCGCAACACTTCCCATGCCCCAAAAAACAACGCAAGTACATCGAGGCCCGACCTCGCAGAACCCATCAATTCCTCCCCAATTTTGGTTTCCCAAGCCCCTAAGCCCGAAAAGTTCTAGACTGCGACCCTGCAGCTGGGGGCTTTCACTTTATCATGGGTTTTCAAGACTCCAGCTTTCCGAGTGATGTCCAGATGCCCCTGCTGGGGAGAAATCGTAAGAGCCCCCCGAAAGCCAGAAGCTGTATATGCAAGGTTTGTACTACCTAGCAATAGGTCGGGTGATCGGTTGCTGACCCCTTTAAACGAGGCCTGACATCTTGAAATCCAAGAAGCCAGAGTAAGAAGGGAAGGACAACAAAGAAGGAGAACAAAGGGGGGGACTTCTCGTGGTCCTTCTCGCTACCTTGTCCCTCCCTCTCCTTTTCCCCTTCCTGTTCTTTGCTCTGTCCTTATTCAATATATTCTTCGTCGAAAGGCTCGAACAAGAGTGAGGGGAGAGGAGCGGTTATCGGAGCTGACATACACTACAATGAGGCACAAACAGCACAATCTGGGCATGTAGCGACCGTGGCCTCGGATGTTTCATTGTTGGGCTTATTTTGCACAGTGAATCCTCGTAAAGGTCCGTGGATATGCGGCTAAGGGCTCCGGCTCCCAGGCTGCGCGTCTTCGCCCTTGACAAGGACTTCCAGTCTCTGCATTGGTTTCAGACCGAGGCGTGGTGCTTGTCGCTTCGGTGACCTACCCGGAAGATGGCAGCTTTGAAGTCTTGGGGTTGGCTTGTTTGGCTTGCGGGGTTTGGGGGGTTTGGGGGGGATTCGGGGGGTTTGGGGGGGTTTGGGGCTGGGGGTTCGGGGACCTGAAGCAGCTTAAGGTTCTGCGGCCAATCAGCAAGCCTCGTCGGGACGTTCTTTCTGACAAGCTTGGCGTGAGTTGCCAGGCACTCTTCATGTCTTGAAGTTTCTGTCGGTGCGCCTTCTCATGCCTGAACAATACTATGAAGCCGCTCAAGCCCAGAAGAGCGTCCCGAATGGTTAGGAGTTTGGTCTGAAGTCCACGGCTGCGGTCAGCGAATGCGAAAGCAAAAGCCACCAACGATTCCCACCTCAGATTGCCGACAGCGACGTCGCAGTGGGTCGGGCTCGCGAGGCTGCGGGTTTACCCTTCCAGGACTGGGCGGATGGAGTTGGGTTTTGGGCCATTGGGAGGCCATCAGCCGAGCCCTTTGAGATCCCCCCCAGGCAAGAGATACGGTTACGCGGAGTTGCTCTGCCAGCGTGGTTGTGCGTGAATATTGAAAACCCTTACCTAATTCAGCTGGGTTCTTTGGAAGAGAGCAGCGCGAGCACACACACACACACACACAGAGGATTCTTCAAGGGGTTCCTGCGACAAGTTTGCACAGCAGGTGCTCGAAGACTTGGGCGAAATTGAGGGCCTGTTAACGTTTTGCAACACCAGCCCAAAGAGCCCAATACCCCTTAATTAAGGAAAATGCCTTAAATCATATCAAGGGGTATTGGGCTCTTTGGGAGCTTTCCCATGTCCAGTCTTTCACCAGGACTCCCAGCGATCTGCGGTTCAAGCAGCGTGGGCCTCAACAGAGCGACAGGACCTTCAGCCTTAAGGGTTAAAATCTCGAGACCCTTAAAAGCCTTACAACCCTGAAGCCCTGAGTCCCAAAACCCCCAACTTGAGATGTGGAGCCCTCCGCATGTGCTTGGCTCCTACCTCAGGTTGCTGACCGCCGCACGCAGCTGACCTCGGCGCTGGGGCAGCTGGCTGCGGCCATGGAGGCCCCCTAAGCTGCCAGGCATATGTCAATGAGTCAAGTGTTTGACAACCCGTCTGCCCTCAGTAACTTGAGCCCCTGAGCCCCTAAAACCACGGAATCCGGAACCCAGCATCTTATTTGGTGTGCTGTGGTGCTTGGGTTTGGGGGGGGCGTGCGTGGCAATTTCACTTTATGTGCTTTTCACTCCCGCGAGATTGCAACCGAAAGGCTGAGTGGGTCACGCAAATCCCACACAAAGCAGCAAATTGGAGCTCACGGGGGTTCCCACGTTTGGGGCCCACCGCGACGAGTGTGCAGCTTCGGCATGCTGTGCGTCAGGGTCCATATGCAAGCTGTCACGGAGCTACAAGGCCTCATTTTCTCGAACCCTCCTAAATTGCAAGCCTAGCAGGCCCTAGCAACCTTAAAGCTCAAAGCCTTAACACCCTGAACTTCAAATCGCAGCATTCGTCGGCCAAGCTTGGGTTGAACAAAGGCTGCTCTGAAACCCTTGGCAATTAACCAAGTAGAACTGTACTTATGACTGTACTTATAGCCATATTCGCTTAATAAGTACCATGAACCTCCAAGTACAAAGCAACAAAAGGGCCCATAAGATGAGAGCGTAATTTGCGTTGTTTTGCGTGACGAGGCCGCCAGCGCCCTCTTCGGGGCCCACACTGCAGAAGGGGCCAAAGCTCCCGAGGAGTGTGTCCGATTGCTGCAGAAGTTGCAGAGTTGTTGAAGCCGCAGAACCAAAACTAGGGTTCAAAACGCTGCTTCAGAGGGTTGCGGGCTGCGTGGGTCTCAGATCTAGATGTTCAGGGTCTGGGAGCTTAGCAATTTTTGGAGATTTCAAGGTTGACCAGGGTTGATACGCAACAGCTTCTTGGCCTTCTGGCTCTTTGTCCATCGGCGGCTGGGGCTGTAGGTCAACTGGGAATCCTTAGTCTTTGCTGTCTTTGCTGTTTGCTGGAGCTGTTGTTTCAACTCTCAAGTTGTCCAGAATTTGCAGTCCTTAATCACTCAGGAGCCTGGCACTGGAGCGGACGAGGTAGTCGACGACACCATTGGCGACGATGATGCTGGCGAAGCCGAAAAATGCGAACCCCAAAACCCACGAATTGTAGAGGGTTGTGGAAGGTTGGTTGCAACCCACAAAAGCAATGACCAATCCCAGCTTTGCAGGCTTTGTCTTGCCAGTTTAGTCAGGATGCGCTATCTCAGTTCAACATTACTCGAAAATCCCTCCTGTATACATTGATCGGAAGCCTCTACGACCTCAACCTTTTAATCAGAAAGCCCTACGTTCTCCATACTTAATATTTAGGAAGCCTCCAGTACTAGTACCTCCACATCTCAATGGGGCAATGTCGGTTTTGTATAGGAAATAGGAAGCCCCAATATTTTGATCTCCATTATGATGTGGAAGGTCCATTTGTCTACATGTTTGAAAACCCTACTTAAGAGGAAAACCTTCATTTGACCTGTGTTTCTTCTACATCTTGAGCAGAAAGCCTTCCTCCATGATTCGGAAGAGAATCTATTTCCTGATTCATTTTGTTTGAAACGCTTTTTATGTTTTTTACTGGAGTAGGAAGCGCGATATTGACACGTGAAAGCCGCTATTTTGCCAACCTATGCGGAACCCTGTATGTTGTAAACGTTGACCGTTTTTCGTCCATGTGGAGTTGCTAGGAGAATTGTTTGCTTCCTGTACGCCTCTCTTATCCTCTACAATTCTGTGCATTTTACTAGGCGAGCCCGTATTCGTCCTAGCAGAAAATCAATTTTCTCACGTTGTGTTTCAATGCTTATCCTCGGAAACCCGAACTTGTACGTTTTTTCCTTAGTAGGCGTGCACAATCCTGCCTCGGGTTCTGTCTTGAATGGGTTTGCGTCACGCGTCCGGAATATAGGAGCAATCGCCGACACTTGTTGTTGCCTTCTGTAAATTTCATAAAGATCGTGCATGCTGGCACCACACTCTGCACCCTAAGTCAGCACAACGCACGAAGGGACATGGCGGGGCGTCAGGTATACATGACCTGGCAATTGCATCGCTTCCTGCTACCTCTCCGCCTGGTGCTGTGCTTGCCGCACCTACTTCCGGCAGGAGCCCAAGGTGTATGGTGGGGGTTTTCGGGCGTTTTTTTTGTACAGAATTTAGGGAGTTGGGAGTTTGGGAAGGCATATTGCGGGTCGTCTTTCAGTTGTATAGTTTGTGTGCGGCGTTTGCAGAGCGACTGCACAGTCCAAGCAGAATGTCAAGATTGTGATGCTTGTCCTGGCACACGGCTCAACGATTTCAGGTTGTGGTACTCGCAGTGCCTGAGCTAGGGATCAAGGGCCTTAACAGGGCAGGAGGATGAGTTTCATGTCTGTTGAGTCTGCTTGTGAAAGAGTGAGAAGTTTTTCGGGTTTGGGGAAGTGTGTAGGTTAGGCACACATGTACAGTTTGGGGTTTTGGGCGTCAGACTCCACGTAGGGGTCAGACAGGGTTCACCCAGTACCCTGAAGACCCTCAAACGCGGCCGTTCGGCTCGAAAGTTCCCAATTTAAAAGTAAAGATTCCTGCCAGCCTGTCAGTACCGTGGAGCCATGGGACCCACCACGCTCGCCTCCGTCAGTGCAGAGGTTGTTGACAAGGCAAAATTCTCCTGGTTCGGGATTCAGGATTGCCTACTGAAGTGGCTGCCGCCCTCGGCTTGCTAAACCCTTAGAAGCAAACAAAGCCCCAGAAAGCTTAGCAACAGGCACGGCCCTAAACCACAAACACCCGAAGCCAAAAGGCGACTCAAACCGAAAAGCCTGCACACCCCCAGACGCTCAACCCTACTACTGCACTCCTCTAACATCCTCCGACCCTGACCCCCCAAAGTTCTGGGGACAGGTGGAGGTGAAGACCGCCCTTGTCTCTGTCTTCGACAAGGCACCTGAAGGGCCCGAAGGGAGGTTTATGGAGGTTTCGGTGCTTCCGCCAAGGGGCCGTAGCGTCAAGGCTTTTGAGCAGAGTCGTGTAGCGGGCCTCGTGGTACGTTGAGAATTGATGGCTTCCAGGCGGGGCGTTTGAGTGTACGAAGCCGCTTCTCCAGCTCAGACTTAGCCGCTTGAAACATGAGCTCTCACCCTTCCTCATCAGAGTTGAGTAGGGGCCCTTTAAAAGTGCACCCTGAGCAGAGGCGGGCCTCGAGGACTTGGGCAAGTTCTTGGCCTCGAAGGGTGGCTCAGCTGGCTTAGGGCTGAGGGTTTGGGGGTTAGGGGGACGGGCGGAGAGCTTATATGGAGGTGGGGCCTGTTTCCTTGCCCAGGTGTGCACATCCTTTCCACCGGCGGGACAGCCGCCAAGCTCCGGGACCTGGGATGCACCGTTCAGGAGCTGTACGGGGTTAACAACGGATTGCGCCCTTTTTTTGCGGAGGTCTTACCTTGTTACCGGCAAGATGCAGGGGTGATACCGGCCGGCATTGAAATCGGTGTTCGACATGCAGGGCACGTTTTCGATGTGCGAATTCTGTGGGCTGGGCATTTGAGATCTACTTCTTCATTTCGTCCTTCGGTGGCTTTGAGAACCATGCTTTTTGCACACGGAGGGTTTACCGTGCACCGTTTCCCCCCCCCACCCCCAGACGCAAAGAAAGACCAAAAGCAAGGACGAACTTCAGAAAAGAAAAGAAAGAGCGACACAAAGAAACGACTACATAAACACAAATTACTACTTACCGAAAGAAGGACCGAAAGAAAAAAGTAACTGACAAAATAAGGACGCAGATCGACAGAAATTCAAATCAGGAAGAAGGAGCGAACAACAGAAAGATCCGAAGAATGAAGGAAACAACAAAGAACAACGAGAGAACAACATTATGACATCAATGATGAGCGTACTATGCAGAACACGGTTATTTGCAGTGTTTTTGGTCTCTTTCAGCCTCTTTGTGCATGAAGCTGCAAGGAATCAACACAACACCCCAAACACTAGCTTACACCCGAGCACTCCAAAGCCAAAAGCCCTAAAACTACAGACCCAGCGAGACCCTGACGCGACTGGAAGTGTTGAAGCCATGCGTCGTTTAACATTTTGCAACAATGGGCTTTTTCAGGTTCAGGTTCGAAATAATCGATGCCTCGCGAAACGTCGGCAGGCGTGGTACGCACAGCAACCCCGAAAACAAATCAGTGCACAATAATCCCCGCTGGGAAGTTTTTGAGTCGCCCAGTGGCCCGATACCAAAAGCATAAAGGAGATGCGCACGTCGTTGCCGGAGTGCTTTGTTTCTCACCTCGTAGCCGAACCCGTTCTGCGTCCAGTGCAGAGAAACAGGACGTTGCCGACTACACTGGATCCCCGGAGATCCTGGACGGACGCGTGCCGCGGCCATGATTTGAGGGGTTTGGGCATCGTGTCCGAACCTTGTGCGCGATGAAGCATAAACCCAAAGGGCCCTCCAGCTTGTGTTCAGCTTTCAGAGTAGCAGGTCCTTGCTAGGCAAGTCTAAAATACATAGATTCGGCACCCTGTGTCGACTATAGTGGCAGATCTCAGGTCCAAGTTGAGCTCTTATCATCTCAGTGTAGCGAAAAGCTCAGACATCTATGTCCACCCAGCATGACACGCCTGCAGCCCTCATCAAAAAAACCTCTGGTAGAAAGTCCAAAGCGAAGCCGCTTAGCACCCTTCAGCACCCCCCTAAGATGCCCTCAACTTAGCTGGAACCTCAGAAAATGAACTGCACTGAGCTCTAGAAGCACAAGGAAGCACCCTTTCGCTCTCAGGTGAAGACACTCCACCCCAAGGTGCACGGAGGCCTCCTGGCTGCGCGTGGCAACGCTGGGCACGAGGCGGATGCGTCGAGCTGCCGTGGGATTTCGAATTCAAAGTTCGGATACTTTTGAATCTGTGTTTTTGGGGGGTTTTTTGCATTGCAGGGCAGGTTAGGGGGTTTGTGGTCACCCTTGGGCGTAGAGCGCAAGAGAAGGTCCCTGTCCAAGTCGCAAGAACTGCCCCAACAGGTTCCATTGCGGGTAGTTTTCAGAACAGCTGCATAGCTTTCGGATGCTTAGCACGCATACAGCCTCACAGCGTATTGTGTTCGGACCATCGGTGCTTGGGCCTGTTTTTTTTCTTGCAGCACAATATACATAAACTTGAACTGGGCATCTCTGGTGCAGAATCGCCCTTGCATGAACTGGAAAGGCAATGGTAGTCATGTGGGTCCGATGTGGGTGTCAGCGCTTCAGGGGGCCCCATGTTCGTTAGGCAGAGATGGAGAAGCACAGCATTCGAAAGATTGACTTGGTCGTCGTGAACCTGCGACTCGGCTTCCCTGTGGTTGAAAGGAGTTGGGACTCGATCTGGAAGCCTAAGCCATCCTAAATCATTGACATGGTGTGGGCAAGCTTTCGAGACAGTCGCCAGTTGTTGAAGCCCGTAGCTCCTTCTCAAAGAGTGTGTGAACTGTCAGGGGTCCAGCCTGAAGCATGCTCGGGTGTGTCGAACTTGCAGAACCTGACATTGACATGCCGAAGTGGCCGAAGCTTCCAAGATCTCTTTCTGCTCAAGAGGTATCCATTCCAGGAGGCTGTGGCCAAAGGCCGGTTGCATCTCCAGGGAGATAAGCTGCTACACTCGGAGCAAAGATTGTGATTTTGGGTTACTTTGGGGCTTGGGGTGCAGGAAAGGGCTTGCAGATGGCTTCAAGGCTTCAGATATGAAAATCTAAGGCTCCAGATCTTGAGAGCTTGGGTGGGGCATCTGGGATGCATGGGTAATCTCTGCACCCGATCCCCGACCACTGATAGGTTTTTAAGCAGTCAGGGTCGAATTCGGGCCAATCCGGGATTAAGGGTGGCATCTGTGAAAGCTGCGCAACATCCGTGGTCATCTGCAGTGTGAACTGCGCTTATGGTGTCAAAATCTGCAGAGTCTTTGGTTGCAAGGTGGCGACTTCGCGACATGCATTGAAAACATCGATATCGGCGGTCCAGTCACTGTGGCCGCCCATGGGAGTTTGTTCTCAGCTCGCTAAATCAAGCCACGTTCCTTAGGTCGGTGTTGGACTGGATTGACTTAGTTGTGAGTCCGAGATAAGTCCGAGCGGTCCTTGGCACGTTCTGCTTCTTCTTCTACGCTCTATCGTAAGCGTGATGAAATAGTCGGTCTTCAGTCCACTTGAGAAGTTGGATCCCTACCTGCTGGTCTGTTCAACTGTCATTCGCTCATGTTTCCATCTCAGATTCAATTGGAAAACTGGCTGGATGTTCAGACCAGGACAGCGAATGTAGTACCAATATGCGCGGCTGGCCTTTTTCCACGGTTTCTTTAGCAGGCAACCGCTCTCAACTCAGGGGTGAGCCTGTTAAACGTGTGCGCTGGTCTCGCATATTCTCGCATTAGTCGTCCTCTACCCACCCTGTACTTTCCTGAAGTCCAAGAACCGAAACAAGGCAGAATTGCAGCCCAGAGAAAACACCCATAAACACCCTAAGTCCGAGGAGCCCTAGGGGTCCGAAACCCACCCCCAACACCCCTCTTTTGACCTTCCCTCCTAAGGCAATGATCCGGGCCTCGGCTAAGAACAACGCGGCGGTGACCATCCTGACCAGCCCTGGCCAGTGCCGCATCCGTCTTCAAGAAAGAGTCTTTAGGAGGGGCCTTTGTGGCCCAGAGAGCTGCTTTCGACTTCCGGCCTGTCTCTTCGGTTTCAGGGTACTGGGGGCTGTGTGGCTGATGTGTGCACTCTCCTGTTCAGGCTGAGGGTTGAGGAGTTCAGGATGGTTCTGGGTGAGGTTTGGGTCTAAGATGCGGCAAGTGTGGTCGCACCTGGCAGTGGGGGAAGGTTGCGTGAATTCTGGTCCGTGGGGCAAGGTTGCGTGAATCTGGTCCACTTCTTTCTTTACGGGCGCAGCGCTGGAAGCCTTGAGCATGGGTTCAGAATCCAGAAGTGAGATGCAGTCAAGCCTTTCTATCAGGACCACCTTTCTGACAGGTACGGAAAGTTCATGCAGGAAGTGTCCGACAACGCTGGCTGCACAACTTTTGTGCTTTGGATGGCACGTTATCCCGCATGCTGGCGTACCTGTGTCAATGGCCTCCAAGGCAGTGATTTGCCAGAGTGAATCGTTTTCCATACAGGGCTACTTCTTATGGCATGCATGATTGGGTTCGGGCTCAGGCCTTCCGCAAGAACATGGCTGCTGCTGCGTACGCACTCACCTCGTCATATGACTCGGCTGTGAGTGCATGGATGGCCGGGGAGGCAGCCCGCTTGAGGAACTTCAGGGACGAGAGGTCGAAGGATGTGACGTAGCAGTGACGTAGCACTTGAAGGGCTCACTGTCTGGTACCAGTAGTTGCAGCAGATGCTTTTGATGCAGCTTGTCTGGGACGGGGCGATGCTCTGCAACAGGTGACTGAGCCTCCGGCGAAGAAGACCATCACCTTTGACCTGCAGATGCCACTGAAGTGCCTTGCCCTGAAGCCCCAAAGCCTCGATCTTTCATGGCCCATGGAAGTTTTGTGGTGGAGTAAAACAAGATTGAGGTTGAACTTGGGATTTGTGTGCAGCTGTTGTTCAATGTGCTTCTACAAGACGGGAGGGGGGGGGGGGGGCGTTGGATGGAGTCGAGAGGATTCGGTGCGGCGCGGAAGCACCCAGACATCATCCAAACGGCCCGGAAACGCAATTCTGTGATATGCTTCATTATCCCGATGCCCGGAATTTTGTGATATGCTCCACTATCCCAATGCCCGCAATAGCGTGATTACCCAGTAGCAACCTCCTAGGTATGGCTGCAACCCGCATCAGCTGCCTGCTGGACTCTGCGCCGTGGCTGGCGGCAAGCTTCCATTCGAGGACAGGATCTTGGACAGGGAGGGGTAGGGAACTCCTGGGGGATGTTAGCGGGGGTCTCGAGGGTGCAGGGTTCTTGGTTTGGCGTTCTTTTTTTGTGATGGAAGAATGGAGGGAAGCCGATAACTGAGAATCCCCAAGACTCGAAGAGTCCATACACGACCACGTGAGTACTTATCTCAACTCACGTCTTTATCTGTACACACATCCATGTACGCACGCAGACATACATATACATAGAATGTAGATACACACTTCTTAATTGTGGTTTATACACAGCTTGGGGGCTTGACTTCACCACTAGGCTTTAGGACTTCTGAGGGTCAGGGCTTAGGAGATCTGTGAACCTTCAGGCAAAGGAAGCAAAGTGGGAACCAATAGGCCAGGAATGCGCAAGGCCAGCTCTTGCCTGCACAGTATGCATTGCAGGTCGTGAACGGCACTCCGGGCTACATCAACCTCTTGGATGCTTGGTTGCATGAGGGGTCGGGCAAGGAGTTTTGGGCCTGATAGACGGCAGGTTACGATGAGTTCTGTGGGCTTGTCGGGTGTCTGAGATTCAGGATTCGAGGTCTGCAGTGGTGTCCAGCCCTCATCTTTGGGCCCTTTTGCCGCGCTGTGGGTTACATGCCCGAAAGGTGGCCAGGTCCGACAATGAAGCCTCCAGCACCAGCCCTGTACTCACCCTGTCTTATCCTCCTGACAACCTGACGTCCCAAACAACAGAGCTGCACTGAGGATGCCATCAATGCCTGGCAACTGGTGCATGAGCTGGCGCAGGCCCTCGCGGGTGAGTTAGAAAGGTGCTTGAAAAACGAGACGACCAGAGGGCCATTGAATTTCGAGCTTGGCACATTGCCCCACGACACTTGCCATAAACTTTTCAGACTCTGTCTGAGTGAGCAAGCCGTTAACGCCTTGTTGGCTACTGCAGGTTTCGGTGACACCGCACGAGTGATGAAACAACTGTGGCCAGAAGCGGTGTCCGACATTTTAATGTTGCATGGCGCCAAAAGAGACACAACTGCCTTCGCTCCATCCTCGCCATACGTGCGCAGGC